GATAATTCATTTTACGAGTCACTCAAGTGGTAATACACTTGAGTTTAAATTTAATTATCTTTAATTCTAGAATAAGTGACATTTATTAAGAATTAATTACACTTGCAACTTTGTTCTCTTCAGTCTTTGAATTCCAAGTTATTATCCAAAGATTCTGATTTCTATTATTTCTCTCGAGTGTTTGCGAAACTGATAATATAACTACAGTGTTTTATGGAATCTAATACCGCAGAGAGGACGCATGGAATTTCTAACATTACGTAACAGTTTGTGGTTACCGACGTCGGAAATAACAGTGAGAATAATATTAAGCGCTTGGAGGAAAACATTAGACATAATCGCACATGAATATGCAATTGCAAACCTCAGATCGCATTTCGCACAAGATTGTATTGCCAGGCTAATTAATCATAGCGGATCTGATATTTTCACGTTTTTTCAGACGTTATCGTAATTTAAACTCAGGCTAAGTTTATCACGCTATATTTTTTTAGGAGACCACCACGAAAGCGAACGTTGTAACGAGTACGTTGTCAGAGGTGGAAATTCTTCTATCGACAATGGCATGCGCAGCTGGTTCCGTATTAGTTGTCATCATCCCCACGATAACTTATTAGTGAGTATCGTTTCAAGAGACTATGTCAACACGCGTTTCATATTCGTAGATAATTGTTTTGTCCGGTGACTCATGAATACCCATCTTATAAATTACTGATCCATTGTAATACACAATAAGCTACTTTGCTATATTGCTTCTTATTTCTTGGATATCAATCGATTGTGCGTCATGCTACAGACAGAAAACTCTTTGCTAACGAAATACTGTGTTTTTGAAAAGTGATAAATTTAATCCGTGTCAACTAATGAAATCGCTTCGCTTCTGGCTTTAGCTTTATCAGCTTAATCTCTGTCTATACATCATTCAATATCAAACGATAGTTCACTCTGTCTAAGTGAAATTCTTTTCGTATCGACTGTAAAACACCATTCGATCGAATTGAAGACAATGAAAGAAAATTCTGAATCTGATTTTTCAGCAAATACTGCAGTAAAGAAATGAAAGACGAAGCCTTATGAGGACGATAAAAGCGACTCCATCAAAAAAGGGTCACACGGAATCACCGATCGAATCAATATTCACCAACTTCACCACGTTTCCACGTTACAAGCTACGAAATGTCATAGATGTACATAGATTAAACTGCAGGTAGAATAATATTGTTAAAGTCGCTGTTAAATAATAATTTACAACCGTTGTGGAATCGGATTATGGATATACAGGGTGATCAATTTCTAGTGACATATGCAATTATCTCCTAAACTATTTGTTACAATACAAAAATTTTCAAGCAAAGCTTATCTGGTTTCAAAAGGGACATCCAGTGGTCGTCACAAATCTTATCTAAATGGACGTGCCTTCGAGATTTCAATGTGACTTTTGTTTTTCATTTTTAATGGAACCGTACGCCTTTGGAATACCAACATATTGTAGGTCGATGACTGCTCTATGGAACGGGCTACACGTCTGTCTAAATAAAACCATATGGTTCCAATTTAAAAAAACAAAGATCACCTTGAAATCTCGAAGGCACGTCCACCTAGATAAGATTTTCGATCACGTAAGTATCGAAGAAGTAAGTTTATTAGACACATTTTTCTCCCATAGCAAATATTTTAGGAGATAATTGCGTGTATCACTTGAAATAGGCTACTCTGTATGAATAAATTGGTCAGTCTTTTGCCATCTATCCACCAGGTTCAACATTTGTTTCCGATGAACCGACTGTGATTCGTGTAACGACACATCGGTAGAATCGAACAAATTGACCGGCAGAATTCATCAGATTATTAGCGCATGATGGAAGTCGGTCGGTTTTCCTCTCCGATTCGTTTGTCCAAGCGACGACGTCACAATGGACAACGAAATCGCTGATTCGCCTCCACCCATTCGTCCCATGGCGCATCGCGCGCCGTTCATCCGAGGTTTTAATCGCATCGGAAATTGATTTTTGACCGAAATTGTTGCGGTCCCGCGATTTCTTGGCTTGCTTCACGCGCTACCGTTTTCAATTGGATCGGGTCAATTGAAAAGTATTCCAGTGATTTAACTGTGATGCGTTCGATAAACTATGTTGCCGTTACCATTTCTTGAATCTAGGTCCAACTAATAATCGAATCAGGAAAAAATAAATATGTATGTATATAAATATATGTATACATATGAATATATAGGGTGAGTCAATAGAATAAGAACTACTGCCTAAATAAATGCTACTATTTAATAAATATTATAGGTAAAGGTTACAGAATTTGGAGCATCTCCTAAGTTGGACCACTATTGTAAATTGTCATTTATAAGCAATTTGCGCCGTATAATAGACAATATGTGTCGTTTATGTATACATCACCACTATCATCACACATTGTCTATCACACAGTGCCAATTGCTTACACATGACAAGTTACAATAGTGCCCCAACTATGGCCCAAATTCAGCATCTTTCCCCTACTAATACTTGAGTGACGTAGCAAAGTATTAATCAGACAAGGGTCCAACCGAATCAGTACAGTATTCCTTTTCGGTGACCAAGATGCTATGAAACGATTCTCGGAAATGGAGGGACACTCTCTGGCGGGAAATTTAAATCGAGAACGTCCAAAGACTCGAAGATTTCCACGCGATAGAGCGAGGGGGCGGAAACCTCGCTCGTAAATTCGCAAGTCGGCTACGCCGTTGGGCTGTTCGGTCCAGGAGTGACAGTATAAACCGTGTACATAAAACTCTTACAGCGCTGAATGGTAATATAAAGTTTAATACGGGCCTCGAACTTTCGCGGATTATGATCGAGGAAGGCTTGTCGAGCAAGGCCGTGGTACCCAGTCGCATTGCAAATTTGAAACGTTTCTTTAACACATGAGAGACGAGTTTCCAGGTTTTATGCACCGCGAAAAGCTTACTCGGGGAATTTCAGTAGCACTCACCGCGGAGTCGTCGAAGTACGTATATAGATATATACGGTAATTTCTTGGGGCTGTAATTTCGCTCGACACCATCCAATAACCATGAAAATACATCATCGACCTCGTCGAAGTTACGATTTTTCGGCACCGAATCACTCGCAATTTTCCAAAGTATTTCCGTGATAATTGATCGCCCTGCGAAAATTAAAGGTTATTCCATAAGAGACGGAAGTGTTGTTCCAAGCGCACGAAGTTACCTTCGAACGTTCCGGTGTTTTACTGGCAGAGGATAATGTCGTGGCGGTATCGATCGCCAGTACGTTGTCGGCACACGGTAAGGCACGATTTTATCATTCGTCGACAATACGATTGTCGAGGAAACGTAATCACTTGTAGGGTAAACTAATCAGTAATTGACTGTACTAAAAAGTGAAAAATTACGATAAGAATAAGTAACTATTTTTATAAAAATTTCAAGAAAAATGAATGTAGGTGATTGCAATTTTAACAACTGTTTTGTTGCTATAAATATATACATTCAAGTAGTAATCTCAAACGTCCATAAATTGTTAAATGTATGAATTTGGTTAGTCAGTGGTTGGTTCACCCTACCATTTCCGTTTCCACCGTAACGTTTTCAATGAACAGTGGTATCAGAATGATGACAACCGGATATTTTATGTATTTCGTCACGTTTCTGGAATCCTAAAACCGTGTGGTCTGTTGGAAAGGGAATGTGGTGTAATTCGAAGAGAAATGGTTGGGCGTTTAAGAAGTGGATGGTATTGGTTAAAATAGGCAAACATTGAGAAAGTGTATTATGCACGAAATTCTGGTAAATGTTAGACTTTGAACTGGAGACATGTAAAAAGAAGTGTAAGTTTTAATAGACTAGAGTAACGGTATTTGTATTTTTACCAGCTCATGCAGAATTTATTAACAAAATGAGAAACGATCCAGATGATCTTGTTTTCAAATTCTGTACAAAATCCAAGATAGTACAGCGAATGGAAATGCAAAGATAAATTCGTTGAAATTAAAGTGCTCTGATGACGAGTCACGAGTTGAAAATTCCTGGACAAAAGGAGAGTGTTCTTAAGGACAAAAGATGTGAATACGTGGTAAAGAAAATGCAGGGATCCAGACGGCTGTTCACCGGCAGCACAAGCCATTTTCAAGCTATTTTCACCACAATACGCGTAATTAACGGTGTGGCGGGTCTACTTACCGTCGAGTGGGATACGAAACGACCGGAAACACTTCGCTGAACACGTGCATACGCGGGCCGCGTAAAGTGGTCGTACCTCGGAGACAAAAGATCCGGGCGCCTTGTGTGTTTATTACAAGGGAAAATCCCCAAGATGACGTACGTGAAATCCTGTGGATTTAAAAAACATCACTAAATTATTACGATAACATTACAGATTGCTATTTTAAATTTCACTTGAACTGTAATAAATTCCTCAAGATGTAAGCTGAAAATGGAAAACATTACGTTTATCGAAAAGTTCTCCGTGCCTTAAAATCATTTTATTTTCTTTTTATTCCGACGATTCACTTCGTTACACCGTTCTCTGTTTCCCTTTGGATATTTTATACAAACCCCACCGTCTACCTGTTCTTTATTCCGCGGCTCGAGCTAACACTTCAGCGTTGCAACGCTTCTACCTATAGCCACCGTTTCCCGCTGAAACGAACGGAGAGCCGCCGTGCAACCTGCAATTGGGGTTGCATAGATTCTACGAGCTCAAGCAGCCGTGTTCTCACGAGATGGTGAAATGATAATACCGCCGATTTATCTTGATTGCATAGCACACGGCGAGGTAGAGAGGTGACTTATTTATTTAAATTAAAATTCGATGAAGTGAAGCCAATTCTGTAGAACTTTGTTCGCGCATTTTCGAGCGTGTCTTACGATACAGAAACAACTCATCTCGTTCTAACCATCGTATTATGATCTTAGTGTCGACGCTATCTCAGGAAGACAAGGAAACCGAGACAGTACAGCATCGATAATAGTTTCCACAAGCTGATCGGTAATGGGATTACACGTGACACCTGAGAAAGCGATTAGATTCACGAAAATCACGGTAGCCCTAGCGTTCACGTGGCCACCCTCGATTAACTCTTCTAACAATCGACTTTTGTTGTTCAACGTGTTATGGTGGGCGGCGTTTGTCAGCTGCCTCGGTCTGCTTTTGCCGCTTCTCAGCGCGATTTACGTGTATAGCAATGAACCAGTCCTGCTTGGTAAAACCGTCAGTCTTTTCTCGGCTGTCGCTCAGGTGATGATCAAGATGATCGTTTGTCGTCTGATGCAGAAGCGGTTTCGAGTAATTTCACGTCTTTCTCTGAATATTCTTAAAGATGTTATTACCACGTGGTTCGGCTCGAATCAGACGTCAGATCGTTTCAGAGATTGTTCTTCGATATGGAGAACTTTTGCAAGTACGCCACCGAGGAGGACAGGATCGTAGTGCAGCGTCACATGGATAGCTACAAGTATTCCCACGTTGTTTACGCGATCTGGTGTTTCTTGACGTGCCTGTTCGTTGTAAGCGGCCCTCTGTACTCGCCGCAAATGTTCCCCACGCTCGCTATATACCCATTTCCGGTGGAGTATCAGCCGATGAAGAGTATTATTTTCTTCCATCAAATACTGGTCGGCTGCCAGGCGACCGCAGGCATGGCGATCGACGCTCAGATCGCACTTCTATTGAGATACGCCACGGTCAGGTTCGAGATTTTAGCGATACAGCTGCGGAAAGCTAAGTCCGGCCAGGATTTGAACGCCTGTATACGGGAACATGTGAAACTTTTGTGGTGAGTAATGAACTACTTGAGCGAAATCGTTTATGCACCATTGCACGAAAAATCGTCATTTAATGATACCTTCGTATTACAATAGTATTGTCTGTAGATACTTTCAATAGACTTTAGCATGCAATTCTATTATATTATTTTTCTTACAAGTCCATCGGTGCACTTGTAAACTGCAATTGCACATTTTCTTGAATGGAGCACTGCGATTAGTTTGCATAAATTCGTTCCTCTTGTCGTTCTCCGTATAAAAGGTGTAAGATAAGCATACTGAAAGCACAATTGAAACACAATAACATTGAAACATCACGCCACCTATTATTCACAACTTGTTATTCCGATAAATGATTTAGAAGAAAAGGTTTGAAGTAATTTTTTAAATGTGAACATTGAGGAACCAAACATTCTAATGAGAAATCTAAAAGAACAAGATATAAAAAAACATTTACAAAGTAAAGGTGAAACACGTACGAGTACTTGCTCTAAGTCGTCAAGTAAAATTAAATATCTCGTAAAGTATTATGTTTTCAATAACCTTACTTTATACATCTCTTATACACAAAATGATACGAGGAATCAACGTATACAAAATAAAAAACAACTTGTTCCTTTGAAAGGAAAGTGCACTTTGCAAGAGCACCAATGAAATCGTGAAAAAAGTTAATAAAATCGGATGATTGCTTGTTGAGCAATGAAAAATTCTCCGGTATGATTTTCGTTTCGTAACTTCACTTGGAACAGCCCAGTTACAAAAATCACCCTGTGTATACATGAAGAATGCAGGCTTGCGTGAACAGTTGTTGAATTTCAGGTATACAAAATCCGTATACAAATCCGTCAGGTTTATTGCTTTGGCGACAGTAGCCACGACGCATATCGCCGTGATTTTCGGCAGTTTGAACCTGGTCACCGTAAGTAACAGCTTCGCCGAGAACAACGTGTGATGCTACAAGACGAGCTGCACGAGTTCACGAGAGATTCTTGCAAAACAGAAACAACCATTACTCTTCAAACTTTTATTCGCGCTCGTGGTGTTCAGCGCCAGCGTGGAGCTCATCATGTACGCCTGGCCGGCCGACAGTTTGATACACGCGGTAATACAACGAATCGTATCGCAATACTCGACTGCAAACATTGTAAGACACTTTACTTGCAGAGCAACAAAACTGCCGCGGCGGCTTACGAGACAAACTGGTTCGAGGAGAATGTCGATATTCAGAGGAAGATCCGCTTTATCATATTGAGATCCCATAGACTCGAGGCTATCGAAATAAGCGGTATTATGCCAAAAATTACATTGTCTTATTATGCATCGGTAGGTATTCCAGAAAATAGTATAACAAAGGTTATTTCTTACTTGCAATGAGAATCGAAAACAGCAGTCGCACGCGAAATGTCCTACCGATTAAAAGATTAATTAAATACAATCCACCCCGGTTTGTAACTGCACCAAATAATACAGACTCCTCACGATTATCGTCTGGCTTGTTCTACACGATTATTGTCCAGACGACGTCCACAACACTGAGGGGGGGGGGCGTAGTACCTGCCAAGCACAGACTTTGTTGGCCCCTCCGCTTTTGTTGTCATGCCTTGGGCTTCGGGCAGAAAACGAATTTACGAGGAACTGGAGCATTTCTTCCTATAGGATTATTGTCCCTGCGCGAACCCGATTTCGGGACGATAGTTGACAGGAGTCTGTAAATCTGTACGACATTTCGCGAACAATCCTATACGCATCATATTGCAAATGGTACAATTAACCCCCTTCATTTCATTACAGTTTCTATATACTGCGATGACCTGTTTCACTGCATTGCGTATAATCGTCGAAAAGTCCAACCACGATTGAAACTTGAAAGAACATACAATTCAGTAGAGCGAATTATACAGCATTGTAATGTATATATCGATAATATAGCAGCTAAACGCACAAATTAATCATACCCAAACATTTTTTCACCTCTTGTACTATCAGCCTGAAGTTGTCCTGTAAAAAAATTGTTCCTGTTCAGACACTTCGTTGAGCTGCTACGATCGCTTCTGTGCGCGTGCAATTGCTCTTCAACATGTATTCACAGATATCTGGATTGGAGTGTATATCGTTTCTTTTCGATCATAAAATTGATACTTCCATCCCTCTAAACGACACATGGTGTACACTGTAAAACTTCATGGTGTGTTCTGCCGCGGGTGCAATCGATATCCCATATGGTGTGAAAAAGAAGTCGAGCTAGAACGCCTGGGCACGCGACCTATTAATCATAGATTTACACTTGACGATAGATACAGCTCATAAAATAGCAGAATAATAGCACACGTTCACATAGATAATACATCGATCCTCCCTTAATACCCCTTCACCATAATACTTCAATAGCCTACGGTTGATTTCATTAACATACCCACTGGAAAATGTATGTTCCCATGAAAAGAAGTAAGTATGCATCAAGCGAACGTGGCGATCCGGTTACAATAGCAAGGAACTTCTACTGCAGTTGCTTTCTCACCCGGGAAAAATAATAATAGCGGAAATCGAACGGCGAAAGCTATCATTGAAGCGTCTCCTCCGCAATTCCGTTAACAGTCAATCATTCACTATTCATCGCGATCTTCGTGTGCCGTTCAGTAGCGTCGAAGACTGCAGTGTCTGGCGCGATACCGCGTTGTTGCAGAACCATTAGTTCCCTCAAACAGGAACACCACGTAAACGCAATCCAGTGCAAGGGAGACCGATCGAAGATTACGTTTACCCTCGACCAACGAATCCACGTCCATTTAGTCCCTGCGCAACAATGTTCGACCAAGTGTCGCCGGAAAAAGTGATAAATTTCACGCGTGTTTGCGTAGCTCTAAGTTTCTGCTGGCCGCTTCCCACGACAGCCACGAGATCCGAGCTCCGTCGATTTAAATTCGTGAGAAGTATACTCGCCCTGAACGCGATCGCGCTTATGTCGGCCCTGTTGTACTCGTTGTACGGATACTACGATGATCCCGCTAACTTCGCACAGGCGGCTTGCCTCATGACAGCGATCACCCACGCTCTCATGCAGATATGTTTTGGAATCACGCAATACGAACATTTACAGGTGAGTCTTCGTTTGAATTTCTGACACTACTTAAGTGAAATGTGATTTCTCGATTCTCTGTCGCATTGAATCGTAGTACAGAGGAAATACGAATTTATTATTATTTCTGAACTGTTTATGAACAGTTTATCGGATGATAATTCTCATGTGTACCCTCGCGTGCACACTCGGCTTCCGTTAGGGGAAAAAGTGGCGTAAAAGAAAAGTCTCGTACCACTTACTAAATTTCTTTTAAGTACGGAAATAAATGTTAAACCGAATATTAATTTGGCATAAATTTCAGTAACTCTCAAAACTGAGAGGTAGGAGGCCCTTCGGCCACCTCACATTTTCTCCTAGCGGAAGCCGAGTTTGCTCGTCAGTGTGCAGTGGATTTCGCTTACTTGGGCTAGCGGTAAATAGAGGAAGCCGTTTAATTGAGAAAAAACTCATCGAATGTATTATATTTATCTATGTGATACTTCGCAGGTAATTGGAACAGCAGCATAATCAGGCCAAATGGCGCTAGACTCGATGTGTCCCAAATACAGAATATCCTCGAAGAGTGTTCAAAGGCTTCTTGGCACTGACAAGGACAGGTCCTCAGGTGTAACGCTGACTTTTTAATGAGATTAGTACACTGATAATTCTTGGAATTCTGAAGCCAATAATATTTGTTTCAGCCGCATATGGCCATTAGTTTATGAAATATTAAATCTTCAATGCCGAGGAGTCATCGAACATTCATCGAGGATTTACTGTTACCAGAATCCACTGTACTTAACCATAACTTATTAAATGTGGCACTGGCGAAAAATTAATGACGTATTATTATCATGACGTTGCAGTGGTTGATCGAAGAGATAACAGCGTACTGCGAGGAAGCAAAAACTAACGAGAGACAAATCCTCCAACGTTACGTAGACAGATATTCCATGTTTTACGGTATATCCGCGATCTGGTTCTACCTGACAGCGGTCATGGTCGTCGTAGGAACATTGTTTATATCCCAGCCTTTTCCGACGAAAGCCGAATACCCGTTTCCTGTCGATTATGAGCCCGTGAGATCGATAATCTTCTTCAGTCAAGCACTCGCCGGGTTCCAATGCGCCGCGCACATTAGCTTCAACATCTTCGTCGCAATGTTGTTGTTTTTCGCGGTGGCTCGATACGAGATTTTGATGATGGAATTGCAGAATGTCACGCGTTTCGTAGATTTGACGAACTGCCTCAGAAAGTATTCCCATGCGAAGGTGTAAGTTACGGTTTTAATCGTGCGAATACAGAGAATCCTTATTGAGAGGTGGTATCCTTTTCGGCACTGACCGTTCAGACGTCCACCGCAACACTGGGAAGGGGAATCGTAGAGTCAGTCAAGTGCATACTTTGTTAAAAAACAAGTTTATGAGGTGCTGACGACTTTTCACCTACCGAAACGGGGCACCAACACTCAACGAGAATTCTCTGTTGTATATAACACAACTGGGTGGGATTATGTTTAATCGCATCCCGATACAATTAGAATTTCAGTAGAGCATACCATATTGAATTCGAGTGACTAATCATTCTTTACCAATATATATATATATATATATATATATGTTCAGGAATGTTTATCAATACGGATATTTAGTGTAACAACTAAGCTTTCGAAAGATGCATCGTTTACTGAAAAATAGCAAGTCGTAGTAATATACATGAAAACTCATAGTAACACAGTAATATAGTAATATAGTAATATAGAATACATATAAAATCAAAAATGAAGTTCACAAATGTATTCATACATTGTTAAAGAATGTTCATCATTCAAATTCAAGAATTGCGAACGTACGAAAGTTTTGAAGCGATCCCGAGGTTCAAACGCTCACGGAACCTTTACTGTACAATGATAATCCACCTCTGTGACTTTAGTTCAATGAATCTACAAAAGTGACTTGAAAATGAATCAAATATGGTTATGAAATTCAAATATGATCGATGATTATTTTCCATTGAATACCTGCTACTTGTTTCAACGAACATTGTATATCTTTGTTCTGAAATGACGAAAGAGTTGTTAAACGAATCGTGTTTCAGTTACGCGCAAGAAGTGGCCAACTGTGCTTGGTATGTCGTCGCAACCACTGTTTCCGTCAGTACAGTGGCACTTGTGGTGGGCGGTGTAAATTTTTTTGGGGTAAGGACAATTAATTCTGAACCATGAACGATCGGACGAACCGTTTCCAATGAAATGAAACACCCTTTCCACGAACAGCACCAACCGCTCACAGTTAAATTGCAATACGTCTGTATCCTGGGGACCGGATTGCTGGAGGTTTTCATGTGTGCATTGCCAGCCGATCATCTGCTGGACATGGTAAGTAATCCATCGAACGACTCGAATCACGATTAATTAATCTTTCATCTTTTCGTAATTGAATGTCCGGTTAATTAAGTCCACTGTCATTGGCACAGAGCCAGAAGGCTCTTCATAGCGTGTATGAAGGAAGGTGGTACGAGCAAGACGTGAAATTACAGAAAACGGTGCTGTACACGTTGACATATCGGAATCCTGTTGCGGTCAGGATTAAATGTATCGTGCCGGTCTTGTCTTTGAAATTCTTCGGCTCGGTGAGATATACGAATTGCAATCGTAATTATTGACCTTATCGTAACATATATCAATGATTATGGAATATTTCAGTTTGTGTCGAACGCGTTCTCTTTCTGTACTGCTCTGCGTGTGATAATGTCGGACGAAGACGGAGAGTTGTAATCAAGTAACATTTGATTTCTACGTAATGCTCAAAGATAGCCCGACATCCTACAGTCAGAGTACAATGAGTGGAACAATACATACATCCATCTATGTAACCAGAAATTGGCCCGTTAACCTATTAAACCAGAAGTTGGCACGTTAACCTATTACACCAGAAGTTGGCTCGTTTTTACCTAACAATCGACCCGACGAGAAGCCGCGCGCCTCGGTCGCTCGCGAGGACCGTAAAGCGCCGAAAGTCCCCCGCCTGGTTGTCGCGCGATTAAGGTATTTATGCGGCTCATACTGCGTTTTCGACTCGAGCGATTCTAACGAGGCAAGTAAAACTATAAGCCCGCCCGCCGCTGCCGTTGTGGAACCAGTCTGTCCAGAAAGGGGGATGGAAACTTTTAATGAGAACAGCGAAGACAATTCGGCCATCTCGTACTGAAAATCAGCCCGATTCTGGGCTGGCCGATACCGAGCAGAAAAATCGGGGTAGAAGAGTCTAGTGAACGAGGGGTGGCCCACGAACAAATCGTGCCTTATCTCTGCCACTATAACGACGAAATACACCTTTCGTACTCTCCTCTATCGCGGAAATACAGAAAACGTTCGGTAGGAGGTTAAATTTCTTCGCCTGGCACATTGACTGCCACAGTGAAAAAGGCCGTACGTAGACAGACATAATTTATTTCGTTTTTTTAATCGTAAATCGTCTAGGATATATGCATTTGGTTGATAGAGGCTGTCGATCTTTGCAATGATACTGTGATATTAAGTTTTCGCGGAAATTTTGTATCGGTACTTAAATTGAACAACATTTCAAGTTCGTGGGAATCAAGTGTAAAAGTCAGGTGGTACTGGAGGAAACTGGTATAGTTATGTGTGCTGCTTGACCAGTTGGTAACGGCAAATGACATAATCATGTCACGTGACGTAGGTGTTGAGTGACAGTGGGGGTTATGTGACATCATTTATCCCTGTAGAGGGAATTATTCCATTCCCAATTGTTTCTTCCATGCAAATTTCACGAGAGTAACACCAAACCGCGCTTCTTGGTTTCCTTGGTAGAACGAACAAGCGAAGATCGTTCTCGGAATATGTTATTCTCCCTTGTTTTATCTCGAACGGATTCACGAATTCGGAATTTTCATCGTCTAAGAGTGGAGGGAACACTATTTCGTTGAAATAAAAATGCTCTGGTGACGAGTCACAAGTTGCAAATTCCTGGACAGAAGGAGAGTGTTCTTAAGGACAAAAGATATCAACACGCGGAAAAGAAAATGCAAGGATCCAGACGGCTATTTCCGGCAGCACAAGCCATTTCCACCACAATACGAGTAATTAACGTTCTGGCAGGTCGACTTACCGTCGAGTGGGATACGAAACGACCGGAAACACTTCGCTGAACGCGTGCATACGCGGGCCGTGTACAGTGGTCATACCTTGGAGACAAAAGATCTGGGCAACTCGTGTGTTTATTACAGACGAAAATCCCCAAGATGACGTACATGAAATCATGTGGATGTAAGAAAAGTCACTAAATTAATACGACAATTTAAAATTAAGACAATTTTAAATTTCAGTTGAAATGAAATAAATTTCTCAAGATGTAAGCTGAAAATGGAACAAATTACGTTTATCGAAAAGTTCTCTATGCCTTAAAATCAATTTATTTTCTTTTTATTCCGAACTTCGATAGATTCTCGCTATAATTGAATATATGGTAATTTCACTTGTTTCTACTTGCTCAGAAAAATATTCGTCTTAATATGTGACACACCTTATATGCACAGCCCTGTCTATAAGCCACCGGCCACTTGATTGTTTCGAGAAAAATGAAAATCGAAACAAAAATTCAATTTCTCAAAGCAATTTCAGTTATTTATTCATGAATTACATAAATAATCTGTAACATACCTCAAACATGTTGCACAATTATTTAACAAAAGTTACGCAACAATAAACTGCTATAAATTTTGTAACACTTTTTATAGTCAATCCAGTTTAATGCATAATGAAACAGCGAACTAGAGCATTTGGAGAAATTCACTGTTGGAGTGCCAAAATTCATTTTGATGAATATTCCTGAATGAATTGATCGCACTAATTAAACCCACATTCAAGATTCGACAAAACACTGAATATGATTTACATTACCTATGCAACGTGGAAAATTGATAAGAATCCATTTATTTCATAATTTTACTGACGTATCGACGTTGATTCTTCTTTGTTCCCCGTGTAGCGGCATAAATGTCCGGTGACTTATGGACTGGAGTGTATACTGTATCTTTTCGTTCATAAAATTGATACTTTCATCCTTGTAAACGACACATGGTGTACACTGCAAAACTCCTTGGCGAGTACTGCCGCGGGTGGTATCGATATCCCACGTGGCGTGAACAGGAAGTCGCGGTACAACGCCTGGGCACGCGACCTATTAATTATAGAGTTTCACTTGACGATGAATACAGCTCATAAAATAGCAGGATGGTATCACGCGTAGACATAGATATTGCATCGATCCTCTCTTACTTCCCCCTCGCGACAATACTTCACTAGCCTGAGGTTGATTTCATTAACATCCCCATTGGACTATGTCTGTTCCCATTAAAAGAAATACGAATACACCAAGCGCATGTGGCGGTCCGGTTACAATAGCAAGGAACTTCTACTGCAGTTGCTTTCTCACACGGGAACAATAATTGTATCGGAAATCGAACGGCGAAAGCTATCATTGAAACGTTTCCTCCGCAATTCCGTTAACAGTCAGTTATTCACTATTCATCATGATCGTGTGCCGTTCAGTCACGTCGAAGATTGCTGCGTCTGGCGAGCTGTTACAAAACTGTCGGTTCCCACAAACAGAAACACCTCGTAATTGCAATCCATTGCACGGGAGACCGTCGAAGATTACGTTTACCCTAGACCAACTTGTCCTGGTCCCTTTAGTCCCGGTGCAACAATGTTCGATCAATTGTCGCCGGAAAAGGTGATGAAGTTCACGCGTATTTGCGTAGCTCTAAGTTTCTGCTGGCCGCTTCCCACGACAGCCACGAGATCCGAGCATCGTCGTTTTAAATTCGTCAGAAGTATTCTCGCCCTAAACGCGACCGTGCATATGTTGGCCCTGTTGTACTCGTTGTACTTAAACTACGGTGATCGCGCTAACTCCGCACAGACGGCTTGCCTCGCCTCGACGGTCGGCCACGTTCTCATGCAGATATGCTTTGGAATCACGCAATACGAACAGTTACAGGTGAGATTTCGTTTGAATTTCTGACACTACCTAAGTGAAATGTGATTTCTCGATTCTCTGTCGCATTGAATCGTAGTACAGAGGAAATACGAATTTATTATTATTTCTGAACCGGTTATGAACAATTTATCGCATGATAATTCTTATGTGTACCCTCGCGTGCACACTCGGCTTCCGTTAGGGAAAAAAGTGGCGTAGAAGAAAAGTCTCCTACCACTTACTGAATTTATTTTAAGTACGGAAATAAATGTTAAACCGAATTTTAATTTGGCATAAATTTCAGTAACTCGCAAAACTAAATGGTAGGAGGCCTTTCGGCCACCTCACATTTTCCTCTAGCAGGAGCCGAGTTTGCTCGTCAGTGTACAGTGGATTTCGCTTATTTGGGCTAGCGGTAAATAGAGGAAGCCGTTTACTTGGGATAAACCAGATCGACTGTATTGTATATATTTATGTGATGCTTGGCATGTAATTGTAACATTCGCTCAATCAGGCCAAATGACGCTAGACCCGATGTGACTCAAATACAGAAAATCCTCGATGAGTATTCGAAGGCTTCTTGTCACTGACAAGTACAGGTCCTCGTGTGTAACGCTGATTTTTTAAGGAATTTAGTATAGTGATAAAGCTAGGAATTCTCACGCCAATAACACTTGTTTCAGTCGCATATTGCCATTAATGTTCGAAATATTTAATCTTCAGTTGCGACGAGCCATCGAACACTCATCGACGATTTACTGTGACCAGAATCCACTGTACTTCACCACAACATATTAAATGTGGCACTGGTGAATAATTAATGAAATATTGTTATCATGACGTTGCAGTGGTTGATCGAAGAGATGATAGCGTACTGCGAGAAAGCGAAAACTAACGAGAGGCAGGTCCTTCAAAGTTACATAGACAGATATTCCATGTTTTACTTCCTTGTCGCTATCTGGTTCTACATGACCGCGGTCATGGTCTTCGTAGGAGCATATTTACTGAACCAGCCTTTCCCGACGAAGGCCGAATACCCGTTTCCTGTCGATCACCAGCCCGTGAAATCCATAATCTTCTTGATGCAAACAGTCATCGCATTCCAATGCTCCGCGCACGTATGCGTCAACGTATTCGTCGGGATGTTGTTGTTCTTCTCCGTGGCTCGATACGAGATTTTGATGTTGGAATTGCAGAAGGTCACGCGTTTCGTTGATTTGACAAACTGCCTGAGAAAGTATTCCCATGCGAAGATGTAAGTGACGGTTTTGATCGTGCGAATGCAGAGAAACCTTATTGAGTGGTAGAAGAATTTTCAGTCAAGTGTATACTTTGTTGGCGAGAATCGGGGTTTGGGCAATAAACAAATTTATGAGGTTTTGACGACTCTGCGCCTGCCGAAACGAGCCCCAACACTCAACGAGAATTCTCTATACTATACAGGGTGTCTCATCCGATTTTGACATGCTGATTTTCTCGCTATTGTCACACGTAGCAGAGAATGTTTCAGCGGAGGCATGAATGGTATCGAATGGAGCATATTCTGATGTTACTAGTTTTTCGTGCGTAGGCGCCTAAAGGTCAACTTTGTTTCTTTAAATGGAGTGAGGTATTTTTAGTACATCAATCGATGCAGTTGGACATTCGTTATAAAAATGTACTAACCTGTGTATGTTGAAAAGTTAGTACTTCAGGAGATATCTCAATTTAAATAATTCTAAAACACCATTACTATCGTACTAAGACGTTAGCGTTTATTGACAAGGATCGTAATAACTTACGACAGTAATGGTATTTTAGAATTATTTAAAAGTGAAATATCTCCAGAACTACCAAATGTTCGACATACATAGGTTAGTATTTTTGTATAACGGAGAAAATCAAGATGTTAAAATCGGGTGAGACACCTTGTATAACACAGCTGGGATGGACTATATTTAATCGCATCCCGATACAATTTTAATTACAGTAGAGCATACATTAATGGATTGGAGTGACTAATAATTCTTTAACAATAGATATGTTCACGAATGTTTATCAATACAGATATTTCGTGTAATGACGAAGCATTCGAAAGATGCCTCGTTTACTGAAAAATAACCATTCATAGTAACATAGTAATATAGTAATATAGTAATATAGTAATATAGTAAAATAGTATACATATAAATTCACAAATAAAGCTCACAAATGTATTCATACATTGTTAAAGAATACTAATCATTCGAATTCAAGAATAGCGAGGGTACGAAAATTTTGAAGCGATCCCGAATTTCAAACTGTCACTGCGTCTTTACTATACAATGATAATCCACCTCTGTGTTTTTAGTCCAATAAATCTACGAAAGTGACTTGAAAATGAATCAAATAAGTTTATGAAATTCAAATATGATCGATGTCTAGTTACCATTGAGTACCTGCTACTTGTTTCGACGAACATTGGATATGCACGTTCTGAAATGACAAAAGAGTTGTTAAACGGATTGTGTTTTAGTTACGCGCAAGAAGTGGCCAACTGTGCTTGGTATGTCGTCGCGACCACAGTTTCCATGAGTGCTGCGGCACTTGTACTGAGCGGTTTAAATTGTTTCGGGGTAAGGAAAATTAATTCTGAACCATGAACGATCGGATGAACCGTTTCCAATGAAATGAAACACGTTTTCCACGAACAGAACCAACCGCTTTCAGTTAAAGTGCAATTCGTCGGTATACTTGGGACAGTATTGCTGGAGGTTTTCATAAGTGCATTGCCAGCCGATCATCTGCGGGACATGGTAAGTAATGCATCGACCAACTCGTATCACGATTAATAAATCTTTCCTCTCTTCATAATTGAATGTCCGGTTAATTAAGTCCACTGTCATTGGCACAGAGCCTGAAGTCTCTTCATAGCGTGTATGAAGGAAGGTGGTTCGAGCAAGACGTGAAATTACAGAAAACGGTACTGTACACGTTGACATATCAGAATCCTGTTGAGATCAGGATCAATTGTATCGTGCCGATCTTGTCTTTGAACTACTTCTGCTCGGTGAGATATATGAATTGTAACCGTAATTATTGACCTTATCGTAACATATATCAATGCTTATGGAATATTTCAGTTTGTCTCGAACGCGTTCTCTTTCTTTACTGCTCTGCGAGTCATAATGTCGGACGAAGACGGAGAGTTGTAATCAGGAAACATTTGATTTCTACATAATGCTCAATGACTACCCGACATCCTACAGTCAGAGGACAGTGAGTGGAAGAATACATACATCCATCTATATTTAAGCCTATTACTTTCGTATGTACGCTAAATACCTCAAGTCTCCATCCGTCAAGGCGTTACATTTGTTCATTCTACGTGTCTCGAATAAACAACCACGTGCTAGAAAAATTCTAATGTCCTCTAATGGGCCACCGGTTCTTCTATCATGCATACGTCTCCTACTAATTCCCCTCTGCAAATGAATTGCCTAAGGTAAAGCGTAACGATATTAGCCTAAGGGTTTAATCATTTATTCACGATTACGAAACGACTAACGACTTCTCTCTCAATTACCTTCGTGACTACTGTTCCTAACGTTGACCCACTGATAACAGCAATCGATTCTTAAGTCCTCTGTTACCGTCATTTACCGTTCAGAAAGTTCCGCGAGTGACCCACAGAACGTTTAAGAAAAAGTGAAGATGTCTTGTACGAGTGGATAATTATTCGAAAAGTGATTGTGATTTTGCCATTATGCGTCGTTTGAGGAGAAACGGATTAATGAATCTGTTAAAGGTCTGCTGTCAATTGTTCGGTATCTGGCTCCCGGATTCGAACGCCTCGTGGTGGCGAGTGATGTTCTCGAGAGCGATGTACTGGATAAATTTCTGGAACGAATTCTACGGGGCACTGGCCGTATTGAACGGTCTTTGTTGTTGCTTCACGAGTGTCAGCGAAGTCGCGAAATCGTTCGTAGAAATGGTTTTTATGCTAGAGATGTTGTTCAATTTAATTTATTATCGCTGGAGATCGTCGAAGTTCCAGGTAAATATATTTATTGACACCTTTAACTCATATAAAGACAGGCTTCTTTAAATTTCAACTTTTCTATCGAAGCGTCAGTTTTCCGAAAAAATGCAATAAAAGCTTTATTAAATTCTACTGAATTTACTTGTGTATTCTATTACACAAACGCTCAGAATCCATAATCTAATAATAGAATATCAATCTGTACAATTCCTTTCTGATAGTAATCAATGGACAGTTCTTTAATATTTATCACGAATTTTGAAGTGACAGAACGTAGGCATATTGTACAATTTACTTTGTGTGGCTAAAAATTTCACGCGAATTCCAGCGTTTAATCATTGAAATGGACAAATTTTTCGGAACGACGAATCCACGTGACCGGATCGTCAGACAGAATTATTTGAATCGTACGAAAACAATGTACAACCTTCTGTTCGGTGTTTTCGTCGTTTGCGCCTTGTCTTTCGCGTTCTCGCCGTTTATCACGAGGAACAAAGTGACTCCGTTGAATACAGCGTACCTATTCCTGCCAAGAGAGAAGTATTGGGGTTTACGCGTCACCTTCGCGCTCAATATATTTCATCTCATGTTCACGACCCCAGTGATCCTTCTCGATCTCCTCATAATTACTATCATTTGGCACGCCTCCTGTAAATTCGTCGAAGTCGGCGAAGCGCTCAGAACTATCAAGGCGAAAAAGCTGAGGGGATGGATTAGGGAACACCAAGCCGCGATCAGGTACTGTTCCATTGACTCGTAAAGTATTTAAATAAAATTATTTTCCGTAGAATATCTTCAACCCTCTGAATGATTGTCACTCGGGAAGAAAATACTTCCTATATACGATAGAACTGAAGCATTAATCATTTTTAAAAATCGTTATTAAACGTAACTTTTGCAAGTTAAATTCTCTTGATTGGCACATGGATCGTATGAAATTGACCAAAACATGTGGTCTATGGATTATCCATTCAGCCCTGAATTATTACGTCACATAATTAATTAATTGAATGGGTGTCTAGAAGAAGGGCGTATGTTATATTTCGTAAAATTTACAGGAAAACGTAAAAACAATTCATCGCTAACTGTAGCGCATTTAAACGCTAAGTTAATGATTCCAAATGATATTACACGAGCAGAAAAGGTCAATCTCTGACCATTTCAACGGTATCAATATTTTCGATTTATACAAATAGTTAAACATAAATAGTCTAAATGTGTCGATAGTGACGATTGCTACCAAGCGCCGCATAGGGGCTGATAGTAGATAATGAGCGTCTTTATTGAGACTATAGTCACCGATGTCAGTCAGAGGGTTAATAAAGATAGATCTACAATTGATAGTCCATTCGTTTCTTGAGTAGCTACGCGGACGATGTCAACCATCTTATGGCACCACTTGCGATCAAATCCACAATCGCTGTGACATTATCAGTGATTATTTCCGGCCTCGTAATAGCACACGTGAGTGTTTCTGATTTCATAATTCGTAATACAGTAAAAGCTCCATAAGAGTTGGATAGGAAGTTCCTCATGAGAGTTTCCACACCATCCCCACCATTGGGGGGGGGGAGGGGTAGATTTCTGAGGTGTTGAAAAGAATTGCTGTATAGACACCGTGAAAATTTTGAAGCGGTACCGAGTTTCAAACTCTCATGGAGACTTTACTGTATATTGCGAACGCATTTACATTAACTCAATTCCTTCAGGGCCTGCCCCTATTCGAGATGTCAAAGTTCTTCATGCTCACAGCGTTCTCCATGCTCAGATTTCTGATGTGTAGTTACGCGGCCGACGTGATGATCGTAGAGGTGAGGTTTTTTTACTTAAGGAAATATTAAATTGTGAGATTCACGAGCACGTTGAACAGGCGCAGGATATCGCCTGGCGGGTTTACGATTCTCCGTGGCTAAACGCGACTCCAGGAGTGCGTAAAGAGGCGGTGATTATTATACAAAGGTGCCAGAAACCGATCGCCATTCACTCTGCCGGATTTTTGACCGCTTGGTCATTGAGATTTTGCGGCCAGGTGAATTACAATTCCATGGATCGGATAATAACACTTATACATAGTAATTTCCATTTTTCTCGGCAGGTTTTTTATACAATTTTCACATATTTCTCGACACTAAGGGCGATACTACGCGTGTGAATGTATCAGAAACGAAACGACCGGAGAATTTGGCCAACAACTTTTATTACTCGTCTCCAGATGGACTGAATGTTTAACAGAATTGAGCATGAAGTTACAGTTACTGTTATCTTGAAACTTGATGCTGAAGTACTTCTTACCTATCTTCTATACATTATTAACTTAACGAAAAACTAAGTATTGCTGACTACAATGACGAAAGAATTCCACGGATTCCCGTCGATGATCGTTGCGGACCTTAGATTCTGTCAACGAAACGGAATCGTAGAGGTTTGTTCGGCACGTTTACCATCATGAAGCTGCTCTTGATGTCGGCATAATCGTACTCAATTCGGAACTGTCGTACCAGCTGGAAAAAGCAGTAGGAATAGTAATGATTTGAAAACTGTCTTGGAAATGTATGTGGGTAGGGAAGACCAGGGTTGAAAGTAACAGGGGTAGGTTGTATCAGGGCTTATAACTTTTTAAATAAAAGGGACAGCATTATGATAACAAATAATCAATAAATTACGATAACTATTACTAAAATATAGACTATCTTTTCATGACAACCAAAAACTATTACTTTCTATCGCGATCTCCACTATATTCCATTGAATAAATGAAATAAAATTTGTGTAGTTTCACGTGAACAATGCGTATTTATTCGAATACCTTCGCAGTCAGTAACATCATCGTCGTCTCGGCCATATTCTTCCCTAAGCACGACCTCGTGCCGTAACCAAAAGGCAGACAGCTGAACTCTGCATTCCCCTCGGAGGAACTGGTCAACCACCTCTCCGGCCGGAATTTCTGTGGATCCTCGTAGTTCTCTTCTCGTTGAGAAGATATTTGATTCGCCATTATGACGAACGTCTACGATAGTTAAGATTAATTAATAGTACAGACTGATAATACCACATTAACCATGATCACTTACTCCTTTAGGTATCGTATATCCGTGAATAGATATTGTCTTCGGTAATAGCCTAGTGAAATATGGGAACGCTGGACGCAGCCTTGAATTGTAATAAAATTATCAAAATTCTGTAAATGATAATAGTGCTCGTTAAATGATCGTTCGTTTAACCGCTACCTCAAACTTTCTTGGAAACACGCTTTCAAATATCGCATATCCTTTAAAGTTTCTTTTGTCAGGGGCGAATCCTTGTCTGGTAGAACATTCACGATTTCATCGTACAATTTCCTTTGGGTCCTTGGATTCTTCGCCAGGTGGTACAAAAGAAATGCTTCACAATTCGCGGTCTGAACAGAAAATTCAGATAACACTTGAATCCACGATAGAAGATCTAGACATCTAGGCTGTGGTCAATAACTATGGTCTGTTTCACGAAAGAAGATGCCTCGGCGCGTGGCCTGGTAGGGATCCAACGCGAGCTGCGTATTTCGTGCGACGTTGTCAAGATCTCAATGCCACTGTGTATCTCTTTCCATCCTCCGGCACGAGAGCCTTTCTTTCAGACGCTCGGTAAACCAACTTCCTTTTTTACCCTGCGATTTCCACGTGTAGCGTTTAATAACCTACGTATTAATTTAATCCCCTTTTAATATGTTGCTCAATATTTGGGTACAATACATTCTTTCAAAAGAAATAAACTTTTTCTTATTCATGTATTTAAACTCTTGACGTGTGAAAACGTTCAGCGTCTCATCGACATTCTCCGCCATTTTCAGACAATGGATGATTGACAGGCGAGTGCCGAATACAGTCTCCACTACTTGAGATTGTAGGTAGGTCCTTCTCGAGAGGTTTGTAATACGTGCGATGGAGACAGACGACCGTAGACGAGGACGCACGTCGACGGTAGAACGTCATTGGCCAAGACGCGAAGAGTGAAAGAGACACAAGTGCCGTAGATGTCTCGGGATCGCGACAACACCGCGAAAAGTCGAGCCTACCTCCCAGGCATCTTCTTTCGTGAAACAGACCATAAGTATGTGGTGCTAATAACTAATTTAGTATTTTTGTATAATATACTTGATAGTAATTTTGCATCGTTATTTTTTTATATTTCTACATTATTACCGCTTGTACTCCTAAAATCATCATGTCCATCAGCAACGTGCAGATGTCATCCGGCTGGATGCCATCGGTTACAAGGAACTTTTCCAAAACCGGCAAGTCCACTTCGGTGTCTTTCACTTTGCTCCCTGTTTTGTACCCCGAGAGAGATCGACTTCGAAGCTTACTTTGCGCCTGACGGACGTGCTTCCCGATGACACTGACAGTAAAGAATTCAATTATTCGTTCCTGAGACACAATGTGGAATGTTTTATATTAAACTCACCCGTCTAGAATGTCACAAGCTTCGAATAGATTCTTGGCGAACGGCGTCAGGAAAAATCGCCAGACTTGGAAGCCGGTTTCGCAGCGATTCATGTACTTGTGAGCTGTCATTAAAGCACTGATGATTCTCGATGGTTCGGACGTGGCGTTGTAACCAGAGGTTTCGAGGAAACCTGTGTGTTTGTTGAAAGTGACGGCGGAGAAGCATTCCATCGCCCAGCGTATGATGTCTTCGTGGAAATTGCTGGGTACCTGGTGATTTGGAAATTAAAATTCTACATTAGTTTCCTAGGCCTTCTATAAATACTGATATCAATTTATTGGATGCTGTTACACACTTCGTCTTGTTTGTTGCGTATTTTGTATACCCTGCTTATCAGCTCGTCGCAGACCATGTCGATCCTGCATCCCTGACTTCCAGCCACTCTGAACCCTGCCTAAACGACAATGCCAACAGTCGATAATATTCTGAATGTTTCATGAATTCATTAATTAGTGTACACTGACAGCGAGAATGGTCCAGCTAGACGATACTTGCGATGATGCAGGTGATAGTGCTGTAGAATATCGATACCACTGCGAATCGGTGTGTTCCCTTCCTGTTTCAACACTTCGGCTATGTGTTCAGGTCTGCAACAATCATTTAATCAGTAGATAACTGTTCAGGAAGCGATGGGAAAGTATCGTACCTGTGGATCATAACGATATCTCCCGAGAGCGGTCCATTGATCCTCACAATGCATCCGTGTTCATTGAACAGATACTTCAGCGGCGTGACGTTGCGGTTCCACGACAGGCGTCCTGGAAACGACTCATTTGAGGTTTAATAAAATCATTCGCGCAAATAGACAGAACGCCGAAGAATTATCGAATACAGTGCTGTTGAACAATGGACCCAAATTTGAATCAGTATTACACTCGAATATTCGTTGCCGCCTCGTGATACTGTTCTGACTAAATAGAATGGACCCAGAAGGAATACAGATTTCAGTGATCAGAAATATTGGCTCGACCTTTCTAAGTCAAGTGACCTGTTGGTCTTTAAAACAATATGGACCTAGTAACACATCTATGGTCTCTCTTTTTGAAGGCACCAAGTTCACTGAGTAGAGGTATATTAAGATTTTTTTTCGGAAGAAGGGATGGTTGGAAAATTCTTTGACAATGTTTACAGGGAATAATAAAAGTATTCGATCGAAAGGAATCTGTATCTACATTCTGATAGCGAAACCTTGATTACAGTATCGTTCGATTACTTTCGTTGCACGGTATATATAAAAGTGTACATCATGTTGCATTCTCTAAGCTAAACCTGCTAAAGAAACCCGAAGAACCAATGATACTTTTTATTCCGATTCCCAACAAGTGACTTTTAACCGATCTTATTATAGACTTTTCTGTTAAATGTCGTACAGACTCCCTAAAATTCTCCGCGTAAAGAATTGGGATCTTCGGATTTCGACCTATCGGTACTTCCAACAGATCGTACCGTTGGTGAATCGGTTGATTAGCAGACTGGAAAACAGTTGCGTACCGAGGAACGGCACGTATTTCCAATACTTCTCCCACAGTTTCAGGATCGCCGGTCCAGGGACCTCTTCGAAAGGTAACGGTGATTTGTCCACGGTGATCTGCGCATCGAGCATCGGCTGGGATATCTCAAAGGACGACGAGACTTCAACTGGATCCAACAAAGGAATGGATTCCACACTGTTCAGAGTATCCGTGATCACCGTTGCTTGGCTTTGATTCATAGATGTGGCCGCTGTAACATTGATCATTATTAAATTATTCAATAGATATTCTAAAATATTTACTATTTCGAATACACTTGCAGATTATGTTCGAGGCACTAAGGTTCAGACATTTCTGGCTCTCGTTCGTTGTCAACGGCTTCGCCACCTTCATCGCCGAACATTGTCGGGACATCGACGAAACTTTCGGCAGAATTCGTTGCATCATGACTACGGTTAATCGAATTTCTTGTTATTTTATAGAGTAAACAACCAAGTATAGTATTTTAATGACACCAGGTTTTATATATCTTCGCGAATGATTTACAGTGTCTATCAATGTTCAAAGAAATTACCTTCTGACTCGGTGGTAATATCTTCAGTGATTAATGACTCTCACATAAATGTAATAATAATCTTTCAGAGACGATGTACCCACACAAAATTAAAAATCTTACTAACCAGCGTTTCTCAAATGAATTTTCCCGTAGATACCACGCACCGAATCTGTGACAGCTGACGTGATAAGAAACAACGACACAGTTGCCTCGGTAGCGAACGAACGTTTTCGGAAGTAACTTCTCAGCGTTCACTGCAATTTCACTGTTATTGGGATCATAACGGGGGACACGAAATCATTAGGTTCATACAAACTTTATTCCTAGTACAAATTTATCGTTACAAATTACAAACTAGATTCTGTATATTTAATGTACATTTCAGCGTTCACACGTCGACTTCAATCTCGACATCCTCCTCGTCCTCTGAAACAGTCTTTCCCACTGAACTCTTCGTATCATCCTTCGTTAATTTTTTCGCCGAGTCCTTTTGCGTGTCTGGATTCGTTATAGAAGCGTTCTCGCCCTCTTTCGTGTGACGCCATTTCATTCTGCGGTTCTGAAACCAGACCTTCACCTAAAAGACAAGAAAAATTGTCCATTGTACTACCTCACAAAAATTTCTCGTCACTTTACGTATAAGATAATACCCAGAAAACCGTGTAAACTGTAAGAACTTGATTCCTTTTACGCGAAAGATACAAATTACTCTACTATATCCTGACTTTTCTGAATAGAAAATATATTCTGTGTTCTCGTAATGGTTCCAAACGATTTACGAAATTTCGTTTCTAATATAATTTTCCGATTTACGTCGACTGAACAATTTCGATTCTACTATTTCGTCATAAATTCAATTTGTCCTCAACGCTATAAGTTCATCACCATTTCGGCAGTTCCTCACTCGCCACCATTTTCTAAATCCCAAGCTTACCCAACCAGAAGACTCTACACACATACCTCTCCCACAAAACCCGAGGATTTTTTCACCTAGCTCGTACAATTACTTAAAGGGAACAATATCTACCTGAGCGTCCGTGAGTCCCAAGGTCGCCGCAAGTTGCCTCCTGTCGGGTTTGGTTATATACTTCTGCAAGGAGAACCTTCTCTCCAGTCCTTTCCGTTGCAACGAGCTGAACACAGCCCTCGACCAGGACCTCTTCCTCCTGGTGTTCGCCTCCGGTTGGTTACTCGGCGCAGTCGTCGAAGTAATCGGTGCTGTAAACGTGAAGGATATCTTGGTGCAGTATTCAAAATAAATAAGTATATACAGTGACTCCGTCGGTTTCTATTCATAAAACGGGAACAACCCACAGAGGGTGGGGGCGGATTCGTCGACGATGCACCGTGGACGGGGATCACAAATTAGGAGGAGACGTGACAGGGGTTGTAAACTGTAGTCTGTGGCCTGTGGACGGGGGTGTCTGTTTCAACAGATCCTAAGAACCCGGACAAGAGGCCCCCGCGATTGGGTACTTCTGGCTGATTTACAACCCTACCGAGTGTATACAACATGTGTACGAATTTAAACAGTGCGGTTCCCTCTCCGCTTGGTACGGTACTCCGAATGAATTGGACGACGTAGGATCATAGTTATTTCGGGCAGCTGCTTAGACTCTGTGCTCTTTGAAGGTGCAACCGTGATTGACGAATACCGAGGCGTGCCTTTAGTTGAATCGATTTGAACGCTCTGGGCAGCTCTGAATCGTCCAAAGGTTGTTTAAAAGTAATGCATGCTTGCCCAATGGTGGATAATTTTATTCGAATAGTACAGAGTGAAAAATAGATGACACGGTAAACAGTCAATAAGAGTAAATAATCGTTTGCCAAGTGTCTACTCATTGAAAAAGAAATATCATTTCAATATAAAAATTGAAATGTTCAATACTTTCTTTCATATTTTATCTATTATTCGAAACTCTTTATCTAGATATTAAGTTTGCCCATATCTAGGGCTCCCTGCACGGATTGAAGAATGCGTCAGAAATATATTCATGCGAATTCTGAGTAAATAAAATCTCCCGTTTTTTTTAAGAAATTGACGGACTCGTGAGATCAAATTCGATACCCTGCGGATTAAATAATAATCTGGAATAATTGAAAAATAATAGATATTTTAGAAACCAAAGGAAATATATACATGTTCCTTCAGAGAAATTGTCAATGATCCGATCTTTTTTGGTGGCAAAAATTAGATATGCATAAATTAAGCCTGAAATTCGTAACTTGATAACTGTACACGTCATCAAACGTGTATGTATATCGTGTCGATGACAATTAATCGTATTGCAACATCGTGATTAATGTTTTATGGTATTTCAAGGGTCTCCTGATTAAGCCTAAATTTCAGAGTTTCAACTAACCGAGAAAAGGGGAACGACGAAACCGATGTTTACGTCGCGTGTAAACCAACGGTGGCACTTAAGATGTCGTTTAAACACGGACAGGAAACACGGGAATACACTGGCGCGTAAATATTTTGCCCTACTTGCCCCGGCGAGTATTCGAGAGACAAGACAGTGGCCCATATGGTAGCATTTGTTAATGACGCAATACAACATTCGTCTCACGAGCCTCTCCGGGGCTCCCGTTATGATTTCCGCTATAAGACGATCTAAACGCCCCGCGAACTGGGGGGTCTGTAAATTATCGATTGGTCCGAACGATGAAATGTTCTGTCTTCTAACCAGATAAGTGATTCATTTACGAATGGATACAAGTACAGAGAAAACGATATTCTAACTACGTGTGAACCACGGGCAAATAAAAACTGTAACAATGATCGATTTGAACTTCATTTTGAATCGAGATAATTTGAACCAAAGCCAATGTTTGATTTATAATTATGTATTTTATTATAGAATCTTCTAAAATAATTTGACACCAATAACTAACACATATTATAACCTAGTGACGGGGAAATATATTTCCCTAATTAGATTGTAATTCAAGCCCGATTTAATTCAAGGAAAAATAATAGAATAGATTGTTGAACACTGCAGGAGGTTTAAATGAAATAGTGTAGTTTATATTTATTAAAAGCACAGAATGCAGATAGTGCTGCTTTAAATTTGACATGAAGTACACAAATGCATAAATGTTACACAAAATATTATTTAAGATGTAGGTTTAGTATCGATTTGTGTAAAATGTATAAAAACGGACAACTTAAAAGTATCTGTGGTAAGAAATTACAAGACACAATTGTCGGGGAAAATAAACTTATAGTTCTTAATAATTCTATGGTTTTTGCAACAATTTTCAAGCGATTATTGTGGTAATGATATTCGTGACGTTGGAAACGTGAAATTTTTAATGTATTATAATTTATAACTTACGTCGTGGAACAGGTCGAAGTGGAGCGGGCCGATAAATATTTCCATAGTTCTCGATCACTCCGTTTCCATGATTCGTGTTCCCGTAGTTCCCCGAGATCGTAGTTTGACCGTACGAAAACGGAGGGCAGATTCGAAGGGCCTCGCACCTGACGCAACTACCGGGGCAAGGACACCGTACCGTGGAGAATTGTACCGGAAGCGGCCTGAGTACATCTTTCGAAATGCCACAATTTTACTCAAAAACTCGTTCGCACAAGTACAACGAAACATAAATATGTAATTAACGAATTACATAATTATACACTATATCCAGATCTCACCTGTCCTCTTCGACGAAATTTCGTCCGATAATATGCGTTCTACGCCGAACTTCAACTGCTTCGAACAATTCGTTCCACCGACAACGCGAGTCTTGATTTCGTTCATTTTTATTTTTCGATTAAAATCCTTTATCCTTGCAATCTTTATACAGACTTTATACACTTACTTATATTCACTTTCCACTTTAAAAATTCACGACATCCTTTTTCCCAATAAATCGGTTCACCGGAACAAATACACGTCACTATATTCGACACTTTTTCTCATGATCGTAGATGACGATTCATTCACGATTGTAAACATAAGTTTTTAAGGATGTGAATCGCAAACATTTTAATCGATGACGATTCGAGATGATCGGAGAGAATTAAGAGACACGGAGAACCAGAAAGATGATAGTTGTAGAATGACTTTCACGGAAATGCATAAGAATGAATGAGCGAGGAACGTATTCCTGCCATCTTCAGATGAGATTTTGGGCTTGGAACAAAAAAATCATCTGAGCTCGCTGCAATTTCGGACGCTGGATTGGTCCACGCGAGATGCTGTAGGCGTGTCTCTAGAGAAGATTGGTCCCTGAATGATGATGAGTCTCTGAGGCCGGGGTTGCGAGACTCCATGGTGCGCCGCTCGCGAGAAATCCTCTCCTCGTGCTTACCGCCGAGTAAATATTACAGAATTTAAGTAAATATTATAAATACCCAACCCTTCTATAAATCATCACGAGAGATAATAAATGATCGCTGAACACGCTTCCGAAATTGTAAACGTCGCGGATGTTATTGAAACCGGAAATGGAAACACTGTAACTTTATTTCGATACATTTTATTATTACGATTGTAATCATCGAGAGAGAAATTCATTTTCATTAGATGGATATGTTTGAGTCCATACGTAGATATAATGTATCGAATCATCGATAACTGCGAGGGTGATTGTAATTCACTAACGAATAATTAAATTATTATCAATGAACCTAATTAAATGGAATGATAAATGTTAAATTTATGGACCATACAAAATATACGATATATTAATGTGAACTGTGAAGTGTCTCGAATCAAAATATATATAAAATTATCTATTTGGTAATGGAATGAAAATTGAACGTGTCTATATTTGTCTTAATTGCTAGAATTCTGTCCGAACACAATTATAAAATAAATTTGTGAAAAAAGGTAATAGAATTATATTTCATAAAGAAGACAGAATTACTAAATCAATTGAGTTATTGTAAAATTCTGAGATTTACGTTCTTCTAATTTAATTTAACCAAATTTTAGAAATGAATATTTCCTTGTTAACAGTTTGGTTTCACAGTCACATCGATGAATTTGAGTTTGCCGCGAAACGAGGATCAACAGCTAAAGCAAAGAACGGATCTACTGAAAAATATGGAAAAGAAAATGATGATCCCAAAAAATGCTACTCGGGCTATACATATCCGTGGAAATAATAGCATAGAGACGTATGGTCGATGATATCTCTGGGAGCCATATGGTTATCTTTGCATGCAGACTTTCGGAGTATACAGTCACTTAGGTGTTTATTTGAAGAGCCATGTTTGAAGCAGCCTCTCTACCCACACGCCAAGAATATTCCTCGGGATATGTACACACCGTGATCCTCTATTCGATTTTATTAGGTTTTAGGATTTTCCAAGAGTCCGCCGGATCATGATAATCGAACCTTTAATTGAGTCGATCGAGATCGCGAGAGTCTCGGACGCGTCCATTACAAAATCTTTCGCCCGTGGAACTGTCGATCACGTTTCTCTTTCGAGACAAAAAGTTACACGAAAAGCGTGGGAAGCTAAAGCTTCACAGTTTCTGCTTCCATGATGAGCTGGATTCGCCTTTCGTTGCATTTCATTCTATTGCATTCCGAATTCTATATTTCGTCGCTCGAGATCTTAACTGCTCTAACTCCATTTTTCAAAAAAATTTAGTTAATCAATCTAGGTACGTCGCATTGGTCCAAAGTATACAAATTAACCATAATATAAACAAAATTCAAATTAGAAAAAAATATTCTTTCAAGTATCAACTCCGAAACTTTGCAATTTTTCTTCTTAATGACTGTATTTCTAAATACTAACAACAATTAAAAATTTATGTTGGTAATAAGATACAATTTTGTTAACTATTGCAGTGAATAGCTATTCAGTAGATGATATTATACAGTGTTCGATTATTTCACTACTTTCCTGCTACAATAATATTAAACGTCATAAACTTTAAACTCAGTTTTCTCAGTTTAGAAACTGTTGGGTATAGAACACTTAAGAACTAGAGCGACGATTTGTAACCATAACTTTTCTTCAAACTTATTCAGTGCGACTATAATTTCCGAGAACAAAGGTTTAGAAATCGTTCTATAATTCTAGATCTAGATCAAAATATTAATATATGGATTATCATAGCAATATAAATAAATATTCGTAGTCTACGAAAATTTCTGTTACGAAGGAAAGACTATCAATCCTTGTCAGATCATTTACTTTCACGAGTTGCATGTGATTTGGCTAACTTTACTCGATATCATATCCTACTGTCAATAATTAATGATTCAATAATTTCGTGTCAATAATTAATTGTACATCGCATAAGACCGCGACAACATGATCATTCCCTGATAAAGCTTCTCGATCTCGAAATCGTTTTCTGCAGGATCGAAGACGAAGACGTTCCTCTTCGGCCGATTATAGCTCTGCTGCAGTCCCTGCAAGCTCTGAAACGCAAAAGAGACTCGATCAAGCTCATCGGTTACTCCGAATCGGAGCATTCCCGCGTTTCAGGAAACTGACGTAATTTTTCACGCAATTTGCATCGGCGCCAGGCGATCGCGTTTGTTTTACAATCATGGTTGTGCACAGTTTTCCGAAATGGAATCGAGCGAAACCGACTCGATAAGAAAATGATCGTAATTCTTATTCTACGCGTCTCCTAGTTTCGACGAAAAGCCGCCATTTTGAGCAATTGGGGGGAAACGTAACAGAAAAGACCAAAATAATTTGTGACAACAATAGATTCTAGTGGTCAGAAGCGAGAGTCACACCGTGGAACTTAACTATCAAACAGGAACTATGTCCCAATTTATTCTGAAAAGAAAATTCATCTTTTCTTAGGGAATTTTAAGGATGCCAGAATATTTCTTTATTCTCCTGAAAAAATATTGATAAGGATGGCTTGTGTAGTGAGCCCCTGAATTATTAAACTCTGTTGACGAAAAAAAACTATTCTAAGAATGTTTCAAATTAATTTCTCTAACATTTCTAGGTTTCCCGATTCATATTTACCAAATTGACAATTATATTCGTCGTTTGAAACTCAAAAAGTATGGATGAAGCGAAGTAGATAACAATTATCAGTGAATGCCAATAAGCTTCTTCTAATTGGTCTAAAAAAATTGTGAATATCTGTACAAGTTCACGGTGTTGTAAAATAATTTATACATATGAGAGTTATACATATAGAAGATTACATCCTCTGTTAAATATTTTGCTGGGTTACGAACAATTTATATTGAAGAGCTCACCGATAGAACAATCACATTTCCGTTGTTCATGTTTCCCGAGTTTCGGCGAATAGCTGTTATTATGAGCGTGAGCAAATACCCGCCGAAAGCCAGAAACGATAACGCCGTGACCGCCAGCTGGAATATTTGTGAGATTTTCGTGTCTTTTCCTTTCTCCTCGTAGTGCTCCCCGTATCTTCTCATTGGCCTTTCGTTGTTCTTCTTAATATTTCTCTTTAAGGGAAACGCCATTGGTAGCGAGAGGGATAACGCTCTACTCGATATCTCACTGGCTTCATCATCCTCCTCGAGGAAGTCTGCATATATGCGAGTGTAAACATCAATGACACAAATGTAGATGAAAATAATGTTGCTAAATTCTTTGTTTCACCATTCATCGTCTACTATCATAATGATTTCTCCCTCGAAATTATACCAATGGTAGGATTTACCTTCTTCGCCCCCGAAGGAAGACTTCATATGGATCAATTCGCTCATCGGCAGCTCGCTCAAGCCACGCATCTCGTCCATGTATAAAGTCGTTCGATTCCCAGACGCGATTTTCAAACAAGAAAATACGAATAAAACGAAAGCCACGGACATAAGTGACGCGTTCGGGTTCCTGAAAACCGACAGCGTTTTCGAGATCGATTTATGAATTAACGACATAGGGGAGACCGGGGATATCTGTCACGTCTTTTAATTGACAATTTTTTTTCCGTAATTATTAGGTATTTAAAATTTTTCTTCGTAGTGAGAGAAATAATCGGTATCTGTGATTACAAAAAATACGAATGTTGTAATGTTAGTATCAGTATTCCGATATATTCTACAAATCAGCGGGACACTGTTAAGTTTAATATCTCGATTGCTTTAATTAATATTCCGACTGTGTTAGCACAAAGTATATGTGAAAATTCCTTCTCGACTCGAGCGAAGCTCGTTTTGTACTGTTTCTAAACAGAACTATCCTCCGAATCGGTAGATCTTGTTTCTCCTGCTTGGTTGACAAAGCGAGGAGAGTCCCAAATCGTCGGTCATCGTGGCCGTGAACAATAACGTTAGAGCTCAACGGGGTGGAAATGTGTAATTAACACCCGTTATGAACAGATTCAGTCTGATTTTCAGTATCGCCGACGACTCTGTAGCGTCACGATGCAGATGCTTCTGTGCACCCTGATCTATGTGTCTGTTATGGGGATTTCTGTCGTTGATTCTTCTGGAGAACAGGATGGTAAGTTAAGGAGATGATCTTCCGATTACGAATAATTGCAGGTATTTACAATAAGTCGAAAATAAAAAATGTACAGCAAAATTTCTTTATTGTTTCTCTAACAAGGATTTTATTTCATTGAAGACCCGCCAATGGGTGTGCACTAGTAAGGAAGAAATATAATTTGAATAACAGTGAACCTTCTCTTAACACTTTGCCCATAAATAATAAAATTTGTGTAAGATTTTAAAGAAGTACCAGTGGTATAATTAAGATGTACATAGATAGATCGTATTTTTAATTTGCGAATGGCTTAAAATTTGTAAATATATTCTATTTTTTTATTGTTATAGGAGTACTCGATAAAATAAAAGCAGGCTTAGAGTACGCGACGAATTACTTAGAAACAGCGAGAGATATCGCCGATCTGGTGGCTAGAAGCTTAGGCGGGAAGCAGAAAGAAAAACGAGGGGACGAAGGCACGAAAGAAAAAGGAGGTTTCCTGCCTGCTAGCGTGATGTCCGCGTTCTTCCGGCTGATTGGCCTCGATTCGCAGAAAGTCACGGCGATCGCTGTGAATAGTGTCATATTCCTCGCGCAAATGGCACGTATAAAGTCCTTAAACATTCAAGTATGAAACATTTTCATTCTCTAATGCCGTGTATTTGCGTTCACGTTTGCAGATAAGCTCATTGTTCGAATTGAAGCCTTCGAAAGGGAACATTGGGAGGAACTTGGACGACGAGGAGGAGACTTCAACCTGGAATCCGGCGAAACTGATTATGGAAAGCAAAAACGAAAGAGTAAGTTATTCTTGATAAAATAATTAAAGAGTCCTTCAACGGTCCTTGTCCTTTTTTATAGAAACCATCTATAATTTTACGAGTTGTATATGTTTCTATATTTTTAGTTCATCTCTCTTACATTTAAAAATAAGTTTGGGTGTTATTTATTTTGTACTGAATCGGGAGCGTCGTTAAATATATAATAGAATGATGCTAATCACCTCGACGAAAATGTCCTTCGGTTAATATTGAAGGCTACAGTTGGTAAACGTTTTTTTTTTCAAGATACAGAAATTAATCGAGCATACACAAAACGAACACCTGCCCGATCAATTGATGCAAAGGGTAGATGGCCTCGATTCCGCTTGCATCAGACTATTACTGTGCAAAACGTCGCCGGTGATCAGAGCTGCACAAAATTCTCTTAAGATTACTACTCAAGGTGAGTCTCGTGGAATGACCGGGTGGTTACCAAGCAGGGACGAATTCGAGGAAAACAACGACCGGTGCGAGGTCACGCACAACGATTGCGAATTATTTTCCTAGCCACGGTTATCGAAACGATCTACGGTTTATACTTTATTCGCTGGAAGGTTGGACGAGGAGCTAAAAGTTGATGAGTCTTGAGCTTAAAAAAGAACGTCGAGTGTTCATTCATAGAGCATATATATTTGCGTCCATACAAATATATACTATATTACAGAATATACAAGGTAGTCCAAAATTAATTTACCGAATCTTGTACGTCGTAATGCCTCCCCTGTATCATACACATGCGCGTCGACGAACGAAAAGAAAACGTGAGAAAGCATCCGATTTGCAATCGGACACCCCTACGAGTGTTGTATTCGTCGTTTATTTAAACGGAACACCGGTGAACGAAGTTTCGCGACGTTCTTTTACAATTCCAACCATCACCAGGATGGTCGAGTCGCTTTAAATAAAATTAATTAAGTCGTTGAATTAACGCAAGGAACGCAGTTTAATACACGATCGGTAAAACGGTTTCATTTACGACGCTATCACGGGAACTTATTGTGCGAGGAGCATAATATCTGAGTGTCGCCTAATGAAAGAACATAACCGAGGTACAAAAAATATATTATATATTTTCTATAGATCACAGTATTCCTTCTAAATAATCACGCTTCGAATCAAAATCACGTTCATCGCCTCTTATAATCGCATCGACGTGTGCCAAGTCGCGTGCTTATAAAGAGGGAACTCTGCGTTATAATATTCGATCGGCACAATAAACGGAAAAACTGTCGGACGTAATATCATTCGTTCACAAGGAAGATACTTGTACGATTCTCAAGGACGGTGCTACTATAAAATCTCTACCCTTTGAAATATCGATCATTCCAAAATAAATAAAAAAATAAAAACGAAATACTCTATCCGTAATTACCCTTTATCGACACAGGATCGTTCTGCACACGTCCGATCGACGCTGTTCGAACGGCCGTGTCTCGATCAACGTGAGAACGATACCGTGAAACGGAACATAATCGAACGAAATATCAACGACGACGGTAACAATAATGAAACAGGATTTTTAAATAACAACTACAGTGGAAACAAGACCACCCGCGGAGCTTATCGGGCGGACTATTCTAAACGGTAGGTATATCCGGCGGAAATCCAGTTAATACTCTCACGTTCCGGTGTAAAACCGTCGATCGTTCTACACTACACATCTAACGAGATCAGGATTAATTGCGAGCTACATACATCAGGGGAAGGGTGAAGGGGAGGAGTCGTTGAACGATCGCTTGAACCTCTAAAGTCATCTGTAATCGATTACGATGGAGTAAATTAGTCGTCTCTGGCCAGTCGATCGGTGGCCAGAAACATTTTGGCATTACACAGCCTCTACCCGGTAAATATCGTGGTACGCGTGATTACGATTAAGAATGTCGATAATTATGAAAACTTTGGCAATATGGGAGACGCAATTCACGGGTGAAAAAACGGAGCAAAGAGTTTCGTGGCGCGGTTGAGCTTCGAGGCTCGAGAGAGAGAGAGAGAGAGAGAGAGAGAGAGAGAATATCCGCGCAACGTTTCGTGATCGGAGCACCGCACACGATAGACGACACATTCGCGACGAGTTGTACAAAAGCTAAGTCTCGTGGAGTCCCTTTATGAATAATTTTGATTCGTTCGATCACATACTGTGTCCCAGTAAACAAAACAAACAAACACTGAACGAAACGGTAGGTATCGGTACTTCTCGATCGTCGAAGATCACCGCGTCTGGTCGTGCGAACGTTCACCTGGAACCGGCGTACTAACGTTACGTGAAACGATTCGTAGTATCGTAAATACGTGTGTATCATTCGTATGTTGTATATAGAATATTAGGGGTCGGGGTACGTACAATTGCAGTCTCCTTACGGTTCGCTGAAAAATCGATCTCGAAAATATATATAAGGGATCAACAAGACTGTGTGTCGGGAGGAGGAGTCAGCGATCCGTACCGTGTCGTAATGGCACCGAGGAATTTTTATATACACGAAAACGCGCCCGGAGAGGTTGCTGCTATAGTTTGGCCGACTGAGTCTCGATTACGATTGTGAGATGAGAATAAGAAACTCAACGAATGAAACACCGTTTAATACTGTACTCATTCGATACTGTTTCCCGTTAAACGCGACAGCCAATGACGGGACGACACGTGGCAGGGCGGAGCAGTGGCTCCTCCCCCCATTTCGTGACGTGATCCTTCCCTCGGTCGGCCAAACTGTACGTTTCATACGGAAAGTACACGTACACACAACCCGTTCGGTTATCCGCATACACACATCGTGAATCAGGTGATTTTATTCATCGCTTTCCATAGACAGCTTTTTGGTTTCCGAGCGAAACGAACCCCATGGAACGGTTTTTCGTTTCATCGTCGAACGGGACACGCTTTTCCAGTGATTGTATCGGGGAACGCTTATGAGCTCGAGCTTTGGAACACCTGGTCACGTGCAATTTCAATCGTCGCGCTTCGAACACTCCAGTTTCCCATCGTTCGAGATCACGACGATCCCGTGCGCACGATGTGCAGTCTTTATTGCTCTTTCAGCATAGAGACGAACTGAACTCGTTAGGAACAAGGGGGCGTGAAGTTCGAGAGACCAGCCTAGGCCGGAACGAGTACGTTTCGAGACTTATTCTAAACGACGAATCACGGGAAACTCGCTTCCAAATGAATCGGTTCACCAGGAGGTAATTGTGTAACGCGAACAATCAACTTATAGATTTAAAAAATGCATACATACAAGTGCAATAATAAACAGTGAGAATTTTCGTCAACTGCGTATTTGTATATACGATTGTTTTTTCAATACAATTGCACGTATATATATTAGACCTATAAACTGGTCATTTAATTCCATTTGGAACGACGTGTAATGGAGTTTCCTTAATTTAGCGCTGTATAGTAGGAACTCTGGAGCATATTAGAGCTTCTCCTACTCCAGCTTTGTTGGTTTCCCCATTCTGGTTGCCATTGGTCCCCCACTTTGCCCATCGTAGATCGTGTGTCGTATCTACGTGCGCCCTGAGTCACCGCAGTAGGGTATGCAAAAGGAGATTAGTAATTAACATGGTCCTCTCGTAGACTTTCTCAGTTCGAAGAAACGCAATTTCGAAGTAACTTACAGTGATAGTTAGTGTATATAATGTATGTATATCCCTGTTCCAATTACGCCACATTGTAACAAAGAAACTCCATTCCAATTCTTAACGGACAGAATTGAAATCTTACTTTATAATACCTATTTTATAGAAATTTTCTCACTGCTTATTAGACATCCGATACAATTACACGAAATATTCAACTAGTTTCACAAGAGAAGATATCTTCGAACAGATATAGAAACTCCCGCATTAAATCTGCGGAAACAAAACTGGTGCTTGAACCCTCCGGCGAATTAAACCTTGAACGAAACGATTCTTCTTCTACGGTGAAGTCCGGATTAGTCGCGATAAACCGAGGAACGAGACATTAGACCAACTCAATCACGATTAAGACAAATCCGAACCCACCACAGTGTTAAGTGTTCCATCCATTTAAAACTTTTCATCGATTCAATCGTTACTATTGTCAGAACCAATTCAGAAAATCTCCAAACCTATCCTTTTTTTTTTTACCAAATCATACGAGTAATCTGATATACTCGGAACGATTCGGAAGGTCTGTATTCCGATCATCGGTGTAGAGAAGTTCGTTTCGTCAATGGCTTTCATTTGGAAACGAATTTTTTCGTATACAATAGGATTCCCTTCAGAGGGTCGCCTGACCCGGACTGATCAGGTCAGTGTTTTCGACACGAGCTTGACGCAGCCAATCCCTCAGATTCCACGTTCTCTCCATCAGATTCGAGGTGGCTTTCTCGACGGTCCCCACGCTGGTCGTGAAACCGCTGTTAGGTCCGTATTGGGCGATGATGTTCTGCGTGGTGGTGGGGGGTGGTTGCGCGGCTGTCAGCTGGGACAGGATGTTTGACTGTATGTTCGGGGTACCAAACGTTCCTAGGAAAGAAACGAACAACGTCAAGAAAAGTAAAACCTCAACAAATCTTGTCGCAAGTAGTCAGATTAATATACTTATAGTTTTCTAAACGGAGACCTATGTAATCTTTTTCCATCTATTATTTAGTAAAGGCTGTAGGGATTTTTTTACGAACCGCGGGTCCAGAATGATCCATGTTTCATGAAATCATGAAAGATTATACAAGAGAGAAATCGAAACACGAAAGAATTTGACTATTTGGAAATTGTGTAATGTAGGATATTATTCATGTAAATACTGTGAGTATTTAGACAACCGTTTATAATAGAAAAGGGTATTACTAGCAATATTAAAAAAATTAGTAATACAAAGGGTATTATTAGTAATGAGAAGTCTCAAAGTGTTATCTTCGTACTGCTGTTATTTCACTTTTCCGAAGGCAGGTTATATGGCTGGATTGTTATGGTACACAGCACATAATGGGAAATAACTACTCGATTAAATAAATTATTGTTATGTTTAAAAAAAGATTTGCCACAGGGAAAAATGTCCATTATTTATGCATTAATCCAATACAATAGTTTAAAATCGCTCCTATAACCCTTGAGATTCTTACGAACCTTGCACGTTGTTCGGTTGCGCGGCGAGATGGTGGTATCGCAGCCATCGCAAATAAGAGTACATCAATGTTGGCGGCGGCGGCACGTTACTGTCCTGCCGTTTGTTCAGCACGCCCCAAATCTCACGTATCTCCGAGTTTAGGTTTTCCAGGCTTGCGATGATTTCCGTCGACTCCTGGTAGTGATCCGGTTTGTCTGAATACGGGTGATCGTGACACAAGACCGAAAAAGTAAATTCTTGCGATGAAAATCAATGGTTTAACGGTCTGCCTGTCTGTCGTTCCCAGACAATTCAATGGTGATTCAAAAGGAACGTAATCAAACACAATGAGAAACGATGAGAGAAAGGAAACATAACGGGGATGATACGATGGGTCGTAAGTTGGGGGTGTCTGTTTCCTCATTGCCTCACCTATAAACGTGTCCGTTCCCAGGTCAGTGGAGCTGAAGCCACTGCTGGCGCTAGACATATCGCTCAATGTTAATTCGTCGTTTCGCGTAGAAGCCGCGTCGTTCTCGTTCCGTTTTGCGCTCGCCACTCTCTCCAGTGTTTGCTCTAGTTGTCTCAGGTGTATAACTTTCTCCCCTAAGAGACTCTTGGTGCGATGTAGGCTCACCTCCATATCCGAGAGTTCGCGTTCTTCCTGCAATTCGGCCGTGAGTACGTCAAATCCACGGTCTCCCATTCGAAATTAAAAAGACATTTTATCATCTACTATTTGATCTGAACTTCTTGGACATTGAACGAATTCGTACAAGAAACTGGAAATTTGGGTGTCGATAACTAATCAAAAAGGACATTTGGAAGTTCCTTCTATTCCGATTAAAATCACGCATAACAGCCATGGCTACCACTTCTATTTTCTACAAATCTATTGGACGACTGCTCTATCACCAGGGTATATAAAGATCAACATATCATACACAGTTGAACTCATTTCTCTGTCAGCTATAAACAATACGGTAACATAGAATATATCGTTCCATTGAAGGTAATTATATCATTAATCGATAAAAAAACGATTTAACTAATTCGTTTCGAAGTTATTTTATACCAAGCCCAACAAGAATTAAGTTCAAGTTACAAGTGGATAATCTGTCTAATGTAAGTCGGGATCATTTCATTCCTCAAGTTTTGCAACTTACTCCCGGGATTCACGAAAGAATCGTTCGCTGGTTAATCGATACCGATAATGGCCCGGTGATGGATCCCGGATACATGTAACTTGGATAATCGCACCTGAACCAGTTGTTCCAGGGTCGCCCGTGCGCTTCGCTGCTGCCAAGCCCGTTGTCGGCCCTGAAAAGCGTTCTCCTGGTGCCGGAGCGCCTCCTGGGCCCTCCTCACGGAGTCCCTTTCGACGTGGATCCGGTGCCGGAAGAACTCCAGCTCCGAGGAGGCGTTCGCCGGCGCTAGAAAATCGAGCAGAATCCTTTTCGGTGTCATCCGCGGAGCTCTCGTGAATTCGGTCGGCTAGCGAATACGGCGCGTGCGAGAGACGGAAGACAAAGAAACGAACAAAAGAAACGAACGAGCACGATGACCAGGAAGAAGAATAGAAACGTCCCGGCGGTGCGCTTAGGTGTCGAGGAATGTACGCCGTTTAGCCAAAGTAAAGTCTATAGACTCCTAAGGAATAAATAAACAGGCATGTTCGTGAACAAAGAAACGATCGATCGAACTGTAACAGAAAAATAAGTGTACGGAAATAACGAGCATAGAAGAGGAAAAGGCGAAAAATTCAAGCTGATCAAGCTCTGCGTACTCAAATGGTACATCGAGTGGGGTGTATTTAAATAGAACTACGAAATTAAATAATTCCATGCTTCATGCAAAACATATGTACACTGTCAGAAGTGAGGGTCATAGATTATCCGACTTTCATCGACATTCACCTTTGTCTTGGAAAGGATATCGCAACGTGTAGGCCGATTCATTGGTGGGAAGCTGATCCCCGAGGTCTTCCAGCTTCTCTAGCTGCTTCCTGATGTTCTCGACCGGATTGTCGGGATTATTGTTGTTCGATACGTTCGAACCGGGTCTCGCCGTGCTCCCCGTTCTCTTGCTGAATGCTTTCTTCTTCTTTATCATCATCATGTTAGCGTTCGTCTCGCTGGCGGTGGTCGTGTCGTCGGACTCGAATCTCGCGGCGGTCTTCGACATAGACGCAGCGGCTGGGGCGGTTACCGTCTTCTGGAGCCCAGTGGTGGCCCTCTGGGCGTTCGAGAGTTCCGGCTCCGGTTGTTCCTCGGGCTGTTCGATCGCAGGATGAGAATCCTGCGGCTTCGCGTTTCTCGTCGCGGAGCTCGAGCGCGTGTTCCTCACCGGGGTACTGCGAGCACGATTTAAGGCCTATAGCCAGACATTAGGACGAATCGCATGAACGTGAGACAGTACCTTCACAGCATACTCATCGCGGCTAACGTCAGGGACGAAGAAATATCGTGGACATGGTTTGGGGGCGGGTGGGTTGGTGTAATGTAATTTTTGTACAGTGTGGTCGTCGAGGTTAACACTCTAGCCGTCATCACGGCCATTTCGTGAGTTCGTCTCCGCGGCGTCAAGATGCAAATTCGTCCTCAGAAATCCCCCTGATAACGAAATATTCAACTTTTCAAAACTGTATCCGATAAGTTATTAGAGTCGTTTTTAGTTGCATTGTGCGAACGTTAAGCGGGTGGTCACTTGTCACTCGTCGACGCGTTGGCGAACGTGTTAGAAAGAGGTTAAGAGGGCTCGTCACAAAATATAATTTAGAAATGTTGTTTAGTGAATATATGTACAAAATTTGAAAGCGTAAGGTTATTAAGCACGTGCTGACGTTAGTACTTGGGGTTGAAAGTGTTAAGTAGAATGTTCTTTGGGCAATGGTAAACAAGAAGAATGGTTTTGAATTCTTGTAGTTTATATTATAGAGGACGTTTGAGATGTACAAGTAATATATTACAAAGTTTATGTGGTTAAGTGACGCTGACTGTGAAGGTACTGGAGACAGTGATGAGATAAATGGATGTGCAAGAACGTAACGTTAATACACTTAACATGATTTAGACGAACAATTGCTGTTAGAATACACAGGGTGAAGTCTAAAAAAATTATACACTTCGTGAAAACTTTTCAGAATAATATTATTATCATTTATATTTATACAATTTTAAAATTGGAAGTAACCTGTATATTCGAATAGGTACGGATAGAAAGCATGCTTCCATGCCCGTTTAAAGGACTGTCACGCGTACAAACACTCTACAGTATAATACAACGTGTCAACCATTTGCAATTCAATCATTCTTTCGTATTTCTCCATAAATTTAAACTCTGAACTTTAAACAGATTCTATACAAATTTTACAAAGGCTTCTACAACGGTGTCGAAGACTACTACGTCACATGTATACCACTGTCACGATGAATTAAGAAATTGCAATCTCTATTATACACATTCCTTCCAGAAAAAAATGATACAACACTATCCCGTTCTTTTCATCAAGGTCCATAACCATGGTCCAGATTGTTCTAACATAATCACCTAAAAATTTCAATCTTTAACTCTCTAATCAGCCTCTCGACATCGACTAATCGCCACAGCAGAATTTGTTAAAATTGATGTTCGGTAGACAAATGGTTTGAAAAACAAATGGTTGACCAAAGTGATCCACAAAGAAAGGTCAAAATCGACTCACTTTTGTTCCGACGACTCGGTCCTATCGGTTCTCGTCCTCGTGGACGTCGACTTCTCGGTCTCAGAGGCCGATGTGTATCCCATCTTCCTCCAGCTCCTCCTCTCGACAGCGAGACGAACGTCGTTCTTCAGCTTCCTGTACTTCTCCTTCAATACCGTGTACTTGTCCTGCAGCAGTCGATTCTCCGATCTCATTTTCTCGATGTCGACGGTCTCCTGCTGCACCGATCGTTGCTCCGACTGCTTCCGCGCCTCTTTCTCCGCGTCCCGCGTGAAGTCAGCACGGATATCCTCTAAACGTTGCTTGTGCATCTTCCGCGTGAGAGCCTCCTGAAACGGCACCAGACGAGACTCGCTTCAGACAGCGTTCACGGGAAACACGGAGCTCCACCGTTTCATCAGGACGTTGACAAACATCGAATGACAAACACCACCTGGTCCATCGGATCCTCCTCGATGCGGTTGTTCGACCCTCCAACGTAATCAGAAGCGATTCGAACAATGGCTGCTGGAAATAATCGAACCTAGATCCCCTAAGTGAGAATCCTCTAAGATCCTCTAACCATGTAAGAACACTTATCAATAATCTGTCTGGGTGACTTAGGTTTCCGTGTTAAAACACCAGGACAAAAAGATCGTATATTTTTTATCTGTTTTATTATTTCATTGTAAAATAGAAACTAGTAACTTTAATGTCCTATAGACGATTGGAAAACTTCTGAAATTTCGTAATGTTCTGTAAAGTTGACTTTCAGGTAGAAGTCCTAATACTATTTTAATATTATAAATATATGGAACATAATTCATTGACCGTCTTACTGATACTAGCTAATAGAACACAGACACCGTGTGTTTATAACAGAAAAACTTAACAGATTCCGTAAATTTTTATTTACTCTCCTCTCGTATCGATTTATAAAACCGTAGACTATCATTGAAAACAGAAATGTTTTTGTCTTGTTCGTGTTACAATTTCTCATGTCTATTCTATCGACAGTGACATTGCATGACAAGCTTTATTGTTCATCGAAATATGTATGTAATCCTTGGGAGTACACACAGTTCCAGGAGAAACTCTGCGGTCAAGTTACGTCAAGTCGTGTTCCGTACGGTGTTACACAATCGTGGGCGAAACTGGGGGACTGAATGACGAATCTATTAGCACCAAAGGAGCTCGACGAGCAGTTTTATTGCGTTCGCAGAAAGCGAAGTTGCCGGCTAACGATGCCTCGCTGGACGAACGCCTCGAGCCTGAGTTAACTAGCCTGTTGCATAACGCCAATCGTTTTGTATCGCCCATAGATAACCTAATTTCCTTAAATAACGACGGATTCGAGGTAGCTGTTTCAACTGGTAGAGTGACGTCGCGTGGATCGACAGGTTGCGCAACAATTGTCGCGCGTGTGCGCGCACACTCCCAGGTACATTAGAGTAATAGGCATCGTCAGGTACTCACGTCGATTCGAAAATTATGCAGAATATCAGCTAGACACTTCTCGTGATCCTCCGTGATTTTCGTTATTTTCTCCCTTTGCTGCATCATCAGCTCGGTGCGTAAATCCTCGAACTCTTTCTCCAATTCTTTCTTCATCCCCTCGATTTTCTCCGTATGCTGTCTGGTCAGTTCTATTTCGTTTAGTTTAGCAAGCTTCTCCTCGCCCAGGTCACGTTCGTGTTCGTCCTCCAGCTTTCCCAGCTCCTGGTTCCTCAATTCCAGCAGTTCCCTCCTCCTTTCGTCGAGCTCTGTCTTCAGGTTGGCCAGAATCTCTTGTCTTTCCTTCTCGTAACAGACCTCTAATTCAGCCTTCACTTTTTTCAGACTCTCCAGCCTTGCCACGTCCATTTCGGCGATCAACCTCTCGATCTCCCGTTCTTCCTGTAAAACCATCGAATGTATCAGTGGAAAGTGTATTAAGAAAAGGGGAGGTCGACTGGAACGCAGATACCGACCTTCTCAGCCATCTCACGTTTTAGCTCCTCCAATCTGTCGGTCAGGTTCCTCTGCAACAGCTTCTTCTGCTCCACGTAGTTCTCCTCCAGTTCCATCCTCGTCTCCTTTAGCTTGTCTTCGAACTCCTTCTTCAGCAAGTCAATGTCGGTCTGGTGATCCTTGCCCAACTTCGACCTGACCTCGTCGAAACTCCTGATCTCACCGCTGTCCTTTCGTGAAGAATCCTCCTCCTGATTGACTCTCGAGAAATCGGAGGTGTCGTCGTCATCCGTTTGCCTCTCCTTCGAGAATCTTATCGCCGATTTCCTCGGCTTGTCCGTTTTTATCTTGCTCTTCCTGAACTCGTCGGAGTCACTGCTCCTCGGCACGCTGCAGTCAGTCTCGCTTTTCGAGACAAGATCGATATTTTTCACCTTATCGAACTTGTTCGGCACAAAGTCCAGGCTACTCTCTCTCGATACACTCTCTCGCGACGAACTCTCTCTCGCCATCTGGCTACGGTGCTCATTCTCGGAGACGTTTTGGACGACGAACCTCTTGCCGACGACTTTAGAATTTTTACCTAGAGGCTCGACCTTATCGGACGACGAGCTCCTGCGAGTGTCTTCCTCGACCTTGCTCTCGGAATCGTCTCTGTTCTCGTCGTCGAAGCTCTGGGAATTCGATCTCTGAGAGGACAGAATCATACCGGTGATCTTATTCGAAATCACAGCGGATATTCGTACGTCCTGCTCCTCTGACTCGGACTCCCATTCCTCCACAGATCCTGAATAGGTGAACTTGATGTCCACTTCTCTCTCTATGTCGAAGCGAACGCTCTTGCGCTCTTCCTCCACTGGCCTGTCGTCTGTCGTATATTAATCGAAATTAACACTCAATTTGAAAGAATGATCCGTTTATTTTTTTCATTAATTGCTAAAGTATTAATTAACCAGAGTATATAAATAAGTATAAAAAATAAGTTCTACTTAAGAATATGGAATATCATAATAAAATAGCGATATGCAATGTTACGTTAATCTTGGAACAATAAGGAATCAGTTCGTTAACATTTCATTTAATTCAAAAATTTCTAATCTAAAGGATAACCTGTACCCTAAGTGTTTGTTTAATCTCTGAAATGAACATAACTTTTCCTTACCATCTTCTGGCTGCTTTTCCCTGAGAATCGACTTCAATCTCTCTCCTCCAACCGTGGCGCTCCCGTCAGCGATCGCGACAGATCGAAAGTCATCGAGCTTCCCGGCCTCCTGACTGGGCGTAGTATCTCTGCTCCTGTTGCTTTTCAGAAACATAGTCCCACCACCGCTGAGCGTGAGTTCCTTCTGCTGACCGAACTGGCTGGGATGTTTTTCCTTGTCGAACTTGTCAGGTTTCTCTGACTTGAACAACGTAGATGCGCTCAATTTATCGATGTCTATGACACTCTCCTCGGAGCTGAACTTGCAGGAGAGCTGCTCCCACTTCTCGTTTCTGGGGCTAAGTGATTCTGATCTTTTGAGGACTTCTTTCAGGTCTAGCTCCTTTATAGGCAGGGTACCGTCTGTCGTCGCTGAAAACGTGGAGGCCACAATTTCCAAGAGCTTTGGACACTCGTAAAACTTCGGATCCTGGAACTTCAGGTTCGTGTAGTCTCTGCCTACTCTGTCACTCGACAGAGGAGTGTCCGGCTTCTGGTCGTCATGGAACTTTGGCTGCTTTTCCTGATTCGGGCTCTCCTTTCTCCGTGCTCCATCAGACTTGTCTAGTTTCTTCAGGGGTGTAAGTTTCGTGGGGATCCTGGTCGGTTGTGAAGTAATCTTTGTAGAGAGTTTTGCCGTGTCCTTCGACGAAGAGGTCTCCTTGGGCAACGTCGCCTCCTCGTGTGATTCTAGGTCCTTGGCGGTTGTCTTTGAATCCTCCTCTGTCGATCAAAAGATATACATCAGTAGCTTTGTTAGATAATCGTACTTTGATTTCACGTTCAAGAGACGTTTTTATAAGCGATGGACACAGAACCAGTAGAGCGAGATATGGAAGAGGGGGCCAGAAAGAAAACATTGAATAGATATAGATAATATTGATAGAACATTATGACTTAATTATTAAAAGATTATACGAGATTCCGTATAGAAGAAAAGCCTCAGATAGTAGTTATCAATCCATTTCTTCAGTTAAACTACGAAAGAAGACAAATATATAAATATGCACTTGCTGTATTAAATTGTCTTTGCCGAAGGTACATATTACAATATGTTCGACTAAAAATATATTCTCTGTTGCTGTTTCGATACGAAACGATGGGGGAACTCGAAAGAGATGGGAGTCGATACTCGGTTCATGGATCAGAGAAACGCAACCTTTCTTCGATCACGATGGCCCACTCGAGGGAAAAACGACTGTGTTTTTTCGTCCCTCTTTTCCCTTTCGCCTCGGAGATAACAGGGACAGCAATGAAACGGATAAGAAAATACGCCTAAAAGCCTGGAAAAGCGCGGTACCGATTATTATATATCAACGAGGAGTGCTCTCGACACGTCTAGAACCGTGTGCTCCGTTTTTTCCTCCCGGTTTTTGAAACGCTTTTCACGAGCGCCGGGCGTACTTGTATCTCTTTTATCCTTTTGAGCGAAACGATTGCGTCTAAATAACGAGCGATGGTCGGGAAATGTTTACGATTCTTTTTTTTAAGTTTGTTGATTCGTTAAAGAAGGGACGGAATACGTTTAAATAAAAAGAGGTACGAATAAAGAAGGGAATAAGTAATGGACTTTGTTTATAGTGGTGAATTCCTGAAAATAAAGCCTTCGAACCATTCGTCGATGTCGGTGAAATTCAAAAACCTATGCTCTTTACACAGCCGAGCCTGTAATCTTCTACTATCCGCGGAACGGAAACGAAAATGATGGAGGCTGTGGAACCGCTACCAAATATTGACTTTTCACGATCCTGCAATTTCGTCCGTGCTGATCCGACCTCATCCACGAATGTGAAGACGACCGTCAACCAAATGACACTTTATAATAACGATTGTAATAACTAAGAAAAGAGAGACGCTTCTCTTGTATGGCAACCTTGATCACTTACATTCAAATCCGCAAAATATATCGTCGTCCGAGTTCTTAATAGTTCTTAGTCCATTTTTCAACAAAATTGAATTAATCAATCTACGTGCGTCTCATTGGCTCAGAGAATACAAATTCACCATAATGTAAAGAAAATTCAACCTAGAAAACAACAAATATTCTTACAACTCCTAACTCTGAAACTCTGAAACTCTGAAAGTCTTTTTTTCTTAATGGTTGTAACTCTAAATACTAACAAGAATTAAAAATTTATGTTAATAAAATAAAATTTTGTCAAATATTGTAACAAATAGCAACTCACTAGATGATATTATAGCGTGACTGATTATTTCAGTACTTTCCTGTCTCCATGATATTAAGCTTCATAAACTTTAAACTCAGTTTTCCCAGTTCAGAAACTAGTAGAGATACAACAATTAAGAACTAGAGAGACGATATTGAAATTAAAACTTCGACTAATTTCATCGCACAGGACGTCAATAAACCATGACGAATATTATCCCAAGAATATGTATTTTGAACCATTTCGGTAGAAATATGAATATACCAAAACCTAAGTAGCAAAATATTATTCAATTGAATTTCGTTTTGGCCACAGCAACAATTTTTCTACGCGAAGTTATAATGACGCGACTATTTTCTGTTCGTTCTGACTGAAAATTTTATCCAACCATCGCGATGAGCGTCTATTTACCGCTCCCTTTCGATTCAACTCGCGTCGCACGGCTCGGAACCGCGTCAGTAAAACAAGCCTCATCCCGGCGACAATTCGCGTTCGATACGCGACGGCGGCGTCGGCGCGATAATTGGACGGATCTACATTTCAAGCGACTATTACGTACTTTCACGAGCGAGCGCGCCGACACGTGAGTGCCTTAACGAATGTGTCGCACGCTCCCGCGGCTAGCCCGTTCGAAAAGAGTTTTCAAGGGCCCTCGGGTACGAGCGGCGACGTCGTCCTCGTCGTCCGCGCCTATCCGATCGAGGGAATCGCTGAACGAATTCGTTCGTCTGTAACTGTATTGCCCTCGAATCGCGTGGAATGAACACACATGGTCCCCTTAATTCGGTTGGCTTGCTGCATTCTGCCGAGAGTCTATGGGGCTCGTTTGTGCCGCCGCGACGTGTTTCACTCCGAACACGGTAAACAGAAAAACACGTGGTCGATACTGGATTCTCGATAATGATCGATTTCAAAAGATGTTTATAAAAGTGTTTCTTTTATTTTGAAATTTGAAGGAATATCATTTCGAAGAATGTTTTGAAATATTTCGTTTGGTTAATATTAGGTCTGCCGATAAATAACCAATTCCTTTTTAGTAAACTTGTAACACAGCTTAAATTTCAAACACCTTTCTGCTGTTTTCTTCTTTCAAAATGGCGGTGAACACAGAAGAACGGGGATAGATATTTCAGAAACGGTACGGGCTTTTGATTTCCTCGGAGATAAGTGTTGAATTTGACAAAATATTGTGTATTACTTGTTGGTGCACTTGATACAATGGTGTATATTATTAATGGACTATCTGCTTTTGATCTACAGACAACTTTTGTTTGATAAAATTTATGGATTGCTCATTGGTATTCAGTCTCGATTACTAAATCAGAAAGGAAGATTTACCTACTTCGCTTGTCACTTAAGAAATTCAACTGATTATCCTAATCACTATACCTCTGTATAAGTAATCACAGAATTAACAGTAAACCGACAAATGCGTTAATTCCCATTAACGTTTCTACGATAAATACAGAAAACCCGTTATCCATTATTCACGCTGCAAGCCCATCGAATGCCTGATTCGCAAGAACGACAACCCTCTTCCATATCATTACCAATTGTACCATTAACAAAACAACGAACCTCTGCAATCCATATCCCGAATAAGTTTCCAAATATATTTACTAACAAACAATCGCTTTTATCGTCTCCAAATCGACCGTTCTCAGCGATAAGCCGCTCGTTATCGCGATCAGTTTCGCGCTTATTCGGTAAACAATTGACAAAGTTTCGATTCCCAGCTGCTTCTAGCTGGCGAACGCGAAAAGTTACATAAAATCTGAACGTAGTAGAGTCGCGGTTACGTAAAAAAAAAAAAAAAAAAAGAAGGAAGAAAAAACAGAGCCGAGCGAATAAGTAGTGGTTGTCCACGAGACCGGCCGGCGATCTGCGGTCATTGGTAAGGAAAACGAAACGCGTGTGTGCAATTGCACGGAGCCGACAACGGGCAAGGTCAGGCTCGCGCGCGAGAGAATCGTTTCCGTTTTACGTAACGATCATACGGGTATCGTTCGACGATACCGCGCCGGGTAATCGACGAAGGAAGCGTGGAATGCGAAACGAAGAATTTTCGCGCGTGCGAAAACTAGCGAGAACGAAACGGGAGGGGAACGGACGTAATCGCCGAGCGACAACGGGCCAAAAAGTTCGGTGAAACGACTAAAAATATAATTCATCTTTTGACGAGAGGCCAAACTCGGGGGAATCGAATGCCAACCGTGGTCCTTGGGTGGCCGGATCGAACGAGCACCGCTAACGAGATGAGTTATTAGCGTGAAACGACGAAGGAAGCTTTTGGCAATCGAGCGTGACAACAGGTGTTCCCTCGGACGGCCTAGGAAAATTATGGGACCGATGTTGTCTTTCTCGAGTCTCTGTGCATCGAGACGCGATAAGATTCAGTGGTAGCGAACGATAATCGATTGTATCGGGATTACGATTATATCTTATCGGATGTACCGAAGTAGTCGATAAGAGTGAATTAGAGCTAATCGATACCGGGGAAAAAGTCGGATTCGAGGTAAAGAGATGTCCGATTAACGGTGTACATTGTATTCCGGTCGAGTGTCTGGAATTGCTAGTGTGAAATCGAGCAGCTCGCTGTTGACGCGTATCTTAGCCTTGTGTCGGACCAATGTCACGCACGTGTTGGAAGATTGTTTATCTATAAAAAGTAAATTGAGATTTATATATTTTTCTTACTCGCTGGTCGGAACGTGTGACGTAATGTACGACGGAAGTTATTGAACGCCTTCTGTGGTACGTGGTGGATAATTTCCACCGCTAATGATGAAAAACTTTCACTTGTTCTCGGAAAGAAGTATCGTCACAATTCATATTTAGTAGTCTTTATCTATAAAATCCTTATCGATATCTACAGGATTCTTATGTATTGTATTCTTATGAATAAAAAAGCACTTCAATTTTTATTCGTTATACGAGATTGTACATCTCGACGGAATATTCGTCGATCTCTGTTCGAGCAACGATAACCCGTTAAAGGAATAAATATAGAAATTCAGAAACAACTCCAGCATTAACTGTCCAACTGAAAAAAAGAACCTTGACAGAAAGAACAATCATTCAACATCCACGGACGAATAAAATTTGTCTGGGTAGAACGAGGCTTCATGAAAATAGTTCCAAGTGTTAACCCTTTGCACGAAAGGATCATGTCATCCGCGTAAACGAAAGAGCAAAAAACAAAAGATATAGAGAAACGAAACAGTAAAACATGCCATCATCACGAGTCAAGAAATCACTTCAATACTTTATTCATGTACAATATATTTACATGCCAGTACAACAGGCGGAAATGCAAACCCCGTTAAAAAATAAATAACGCTACATCGGGAACGGGAAAATGCTTGACCTACATACGAGCGTATACATTTGCTGCACTGGTTACTGATGCCAAAAAAAAAAAAAAAAAACAGGTACAGAGGTAATCCTCAGTCTATATCACATTCTCGAGGGGGTCGAAACGATAATCAATGCCACCCCTCTACCATCCAACCCCCACCCTTCTGGTCCATTCACTACGGAATAATTGAAACGAAAACGAAAAACGGGTAAGGTATGTGTGTGTGTGTGTGTGTGTATGTGTGCTCTGTGCGATCGGTCTCTGTCACGTTCTCTGTCGTAGAGGACACACGGATGCATCGTGGATGCAGTCCAAGTGCAAAGGGTTAATCCTATATTTTCCATTCAGCCGTAATGACGAGGCAATCCGTACCGACGCTCATTTGCCTGGTGTTGTTCCCTGCCCTGGCCTGTTCGACCATCTCCTTGTACACGGCGTCCAGCGGGTGCTCCCAGGTTGTGGTTCCGGTGGAAGCCTGGTAATAATACCAAGCCCCAGTCGCCTCGTGGAAGCACGGCCGCCAACCCTTCGGCAGAGCCGCCATGAGGCCCTCCCGGGCCAAGTCCATAAGGTGCGGTTCCGCATCGGGGTCGATTCCCAGGCGTCTGGCATACTGGAGCACCTCTGAAAAAGCAACCGTTCCCGCTCCATTAGTCAATTAGATAGTTGACGGTGGTGTGTACAGAGTGTCTTGAATCCATGGGTGAATACCGTTTTTTCGAAGACTATTTGTATTCGATTACAATTTCTACTAATTCTTCGATCATTTTCTACTTAATCAGTTAAAGATTTTTAAATCCAATTTTGTCACGATGTGTGTAACAATGTGAACTAGATCGTATTTTTTGTACATCGAATAATGTTTCGTTGGCAATTATTCTTACTCATTTTGTTTTATTCTTATGTACGGAAAATCATGTAATGGTTTAGGGTGAAACAAATATTCTACAGACGATTTGAAATTTTCTTCTTATGTAAAATTGGTATAAGAATTTTTTAACCTTGCAATATCTTCCGAGAGTGTAGTAGGTACTGAAACCGACAGGATTCTAATCACCTCATATTGAAATATATAAATAAACGCGTTGAGTGGTGTAAAAAGTAATTGTCCTGTATAGGGTTAAAAAGGATGTTCAATTGTATTTCACAACTAGATAGATCGGCATGCGTTAATAACAGTAACAAGGAGAGCTAACATGTCAAAGATCACCATCTGTTTTTAACGATATAGCTCCCCTAAAATACCCATCACATACCCTTTACGAGGATCGTCGTCATAGAAATTAATTTCCCTGGAAACAGTCGGCTTTCGCTCGGAATGCGTGCGCCCACGAGCTTTATAAAGCTTCCAAAGGGGTCAAGGATGTCCGCGGAATAAAGAAACTCTTGACGTGTTACGCCGGCATTGTTCAACCCCTGGAATCTTCGTGTCGCGAAAAATGAAAAAAAAAACGGGCGGGGGTAGATTTCAGCGTACCTGGGTTAAGGGTGAAATTTTTAAATTGTCTGCTACTATAAATACTCCCGTCGATGTGTAACACGAGAAGGTATTAATATACTCTTGGAACAAGTGATTTCAAGGTTCTCGAGTCGGCCGTGTGCGGGTTATAACGATGCCTATCGATTATAGGCCAGGTGGAGGGTACACATGGTAACGCGGAACTGTTGTTCCGGAAGAAAAGGGGCGTTAAGATGTCTTCACGGTAACGCACACCGTTACTTGGCCAACAAATTGCGTAGTATTTACGTGGAAAGAGACAGTATTGAACTTAGACAATTTTTAATGTTGTACATACTGTATGCATTAAATTAAAATTTTCATTAAACATAGAATAAACTAAAAATACTACGATCTTGAATTAGTAGTTACAACTTCACAATTCTTCGTGCGTAAAAAAATGTTTCGCGTGATTTTAAGAAATAATCTAGAATGTCTTAGCACAAACTAAAAAAACATTAAGGTTGAAGGACAAGAGAAAAGAAGTGATCCAATAAGATACATTCAAGTAAAAAATGTTCTCGAGAAGTCCACTGTAATACGAAAGAATTTATAGAATCTACCCTTTATATTCGTCTAACCTCTGAACTTCAAAGCGCTTATCATGACAAAAGCTAACAAACTCTCTGATAACGACAACCGTCTATTATACTCGCTCGCTTTAATTCGATACACCGTTCATCGACCCTCTTTCGTGCTTAATTAATTCTCCAGTGGCCTGTACTACTTGGGCACACTTTCCAGTTAAATATCCGAAAATTAACGGCTTAAAGAGCTACCAGAGAGGGACGGTACACCGATGTCAGATAAAACGCCAATCTTACGCGACGTTAATAATCTCGTTCCATTCGATCGAACATCGTCGTGGACAATTAACGTGGAACGCGTCATGTTGCGCCGCTGACGTTTCACGCGATCTGTATAAATAATTCATCGCGCCCCCGGGTTCAACCGTGTGTTATTCCGTCGAACGGGACGCACGTCGTCTCTGTGTACCGATAAAATGAAACGTGCTCCCGTCTTCTCCAGAGAAGACATTTTCCCCGTATTCCATTATCATAACGATCCTGTGAACGTGAAAACTTGCACAGGTGAAATGGATTCCGTTTGGCGGAATCACGTTCGAAAACTGCCGCGCACTGCCGGAAGCGCTGGCAACGTTCAAGTTTAACGGTATAATTAGCCACGGAAGATCAGGTCCCGATGGCAAAGAATCCCGTTTTCATTCATCGAGCAGCTCTGAATAGTTTACGAGCCTACGTTGCGGGCGAGTCGCGAACAGCAAGAGTACTGTGAAAGACGACCGATTAAAAATTCCATCATGGAAGTCTTTGACAGGTGGCTACCCCCGGTGTACGAGGGTGAACCCGACGGAACATCTGTCTTCCCTTCAGGGGCGGTGGTGAAATTTTTGTGAACGTCACGATCGCTACGATCTACGATTTCATGGATTCTGGATAGAGTTCGTTGACGGAGGTTCTGAAATATATGTGTTTTGGGGATGATTTTTGGCGAGGGTGATATCACGGTCTGCGGAATTCCGTCGTTCGTCCGACTGGCACAGGGGGGAGGTTCTCGAGCCTTACGACAAAACTTTCGCCGCACTGCGGATCCTATTGATTTTCCTCGGCGCGCTAGGCTACGAGCTCACTGCTCCCGTCCGGCTGCGGTGTAAATAAACAAGGAAACTCACCACCGACACCGTTCAACCATTCAACGTTTTATTTATGACTTTTAAAATTTTGACCATTTTCCTATTAAATTGTTAAATCGAGTCATTGGTACATTGAATTTAATTTCAATTCTAGGGAGAATTGCCATCGTACATTGTGATATACCATGTGACATCATCCGGTGCAATAGGAACTCTTGGATGCAATCGCGGCGCAGTTAAAATCGTCAGATTTATTTACGGAATTCTAATTACCTTCGGGGAATTTCTTGGCCTGAAATTCATGGAGCGAGTGGTTTATTATTTCCGGAAATATCAAATTATAATTATATTCTAATTACAAAGAATTCACTGTCGTTTATTGGAATGAAAAAAAAACCGTGACGTAACCTGAAAATATTGCATTAAAATGGTAGTACTTTTTAATTTTCAACCAGTCCTCACGGCATGCTCCGATTTGTACCCTAATCTCTGAAGACAGCAACGAAGCAATTTTTAATCCGAGCACCCAAAAACTCATAAAAATATTATCGAAAAGAGCTCGCAATCATAAATCGAACAAGGAAGCGTAAATACTGACAACTGGCTGAAACCACCCCCGCCATGAAACGCCAGCCAGTCCGCTGGCACGTATGTACATACACGTCAGTTTTCATTGCGCAACCGAATGTTTCGCAACACAATGTCTTTTCCATCATCGGACTGTATATCAATCCCAGCACGAATCTCTATATTTCCCCTATAATCGATCCTCAATTGGAATCAACCCACGACACGCTATCTTTCCTGTCTGTCAAACGCTTCATCCGTGAAGGTTATACGGTCGTCTAATGGCTCGATAAAAGGATGAACTGGTAGACAGGAGTGCAACGACAGGAGAGGACGCGATTGTTCAAGGCCGCGACCCCAGAGGCTCGTCTCACGGAATTATGGGTCCAGTTAGGGTGCAGGAAGGGGGATTGACGTTCGATGGCGAGATGAAGAATAAACCACCCCCTCCCCTCCCTCCCGTGCTACATCGATCGTGACTGAAGAACGACAGGGGGTAGGGGGAAGGGTTTTCGAATGGGCCCCAAAAAGATCTCACTGGGGGGGAAGAGTGGGGGGTGGCTGAGGACCTCGAGTTTCTCTCGCACGTACCTTCGTTCGACGGATGCGACGTCTCGTCGAAGACCTCCCTGCAGACGATCGTGGCCGCGCTGTCCTGGGAAATGCTCATGCTAGCGCGGACGATGAACAGCCTGGTCCCGGGAGCAGGACGTTTACATAACGCGCGTCACCAAGCGTGCCGTCACACGATAGAGTCGCGCGAGCCGGTGCCCGTCATTTTTCCGTCACGGCGGACGCGTGCACGCGAGAGAGTTTCGCCCCGGCGACGAGGCCCGTCCGACGACGGTCAATGTTGAATTCGACTTGAACGTAGGCGGCGGAAAGAGAGAAGAGAGACAGACAGAGAGAGTGAGAGAGGGGGAAGAGAGAGAGAGAGAGTCGGAAAAAGAGGGAGACAGAACCGGTGCAGCGCCCCCGGTAGCCTGACCCCGAACTAGGCCAATGATAAGGAAACGAGCGGCACCGCCGCCGGCAACTGTCTTATCGATTAATCGAGAGACCAACGTTGCGTTCGTCGCCGGCTCGACTGTGGCGGGAAATATTGAAGGGAGAGTTTTTGTTTTCTTTTTTCTTTTTCAGGTGATTTAGGTTAGTTTGGGTTGATAAGACGTAGAGAGGATGAGGGTGAGTTTGAATCATGAGGAAGAGGGGGTGAGTCCATGCTGAACTGGAATGTGAGAAGATTTGTCTTTTGAGGTATTTGCGTTAGGCAGTTTGTAGTAGATTGTATTGTTGATTTATCATTTGTTTGATTCGTCCTGGTGGTTAATAGTAAATTTGGAGTGTAGGGCCAATTTGGATGGATAGGGCAATCTTGTTGTCTTAGGCGATACTTATGTATTTAATGGTGTCTTTCTTGGGTGACACTTGCTGAATGAAATCTTGTTGTATACATTAGAATGCATTAGTGATGAATAATGCAATAATACATGTACGAAAAATAAATGCTAAACGTAAGGGGATAAAATTTCGTTTAATGTGTATTGTATTTCTTTAGAAGCTTCAAAGTGTGTCTGATTAATAAGATAATGTAATATATCCTTTTCATTAAATTTTCATACTGTGTTATTAAATTAGTGTATTTGTTTTCTCTGGCTGGGTTTTGAAACCTTGCACTGTTTATATTTAGCGAAGGAAACACTATGTCACATTTCTGTCGATGCAGTTGAAAGAATATTTAAACCAGTTTTGCTCAACGTAACACTAATAAATATGTATGAAAAATAGGGTATCGCAATAATTTTGTGAGTACAGTGGACAGTTGTAGACATCTCTGAGGAGAACTAACAGAACAATAGTCAATAAAATATGTTTCTTCAAATCATAAAGAAAAAGTATCTTTACATAAATGATACATAGTAATCGCTCGATAATTGATCATCTCGAAAATGTAGAGGGCCAAATTGCCAGGAGCTGATCAAATAACGAACGCCAATTATCCGCGCGCTTTCCCCACCAGTCGTCCGTTGAATATACAATTTACAATGGTATTTGTAAAAATTTAATAACAATTGCCTCAAATACTACTTATACATAATACTACTTAATATAAAGGCACCGTTTTCGCGTGGCTGACACACGATCAGGTTGCTTCTATCTTTTTTGAGTAAAAAGAAACATAAATGATTATTAATCTATACAAGTGACACTCTAGTTTAGATTAAAATGTGCGGGAAGTGTCAACAAATCCAAATACACAAATATGTCATGACGTATCCTGCCTCGCATCGCCTCTACAGGAGCCCGCGGTTGCCCGTCACTTGCCAAATATACATATAGTAGAGTATCACCTGTTTATAGCTATTGTCATGGCGTTGGTGGCACGTCCTTTCCAGCTAGTGCTCGGAAACAGAAAATAATCGCGTTTTCTTAAAGTAATTACATCAAATTACCAATGGTTTCGTTATAAATAAACAACTACTGTACTTGAGGTGTGCCGTAAAAGATTTTAACGCATATGAACGGACGACTGGCGGGCAAAGCGCGCGTGTAATTGACGCTCGTTAATTGTTCGGTTCCTGGAAATTTGACCCTCTACAGCCCCGAGGTGATCAATTATCGAGCGACTACTGTACATTGTATGTCAGAACCATTCTGTATCTCGTCCTTGATAATACCACAGACAAGTTACAAAACAGATCAGGAGCAATTTTTTGGTACCATAATATTTGTGTAAAAAGACCATTCACTATCTATTTTGCGAAGAACAAATTTTTGCTTCTTTATTTGCGAATATCTCATTAAATATAAACGGTGCGATGGGAGCAAATTTAGATTCCGAGGGAGTAAATTGGGAGCAATTTTTTAAGATATTAATTGTTAAGAAACACTAATATTCGGTGCCATTTTTTTTTTGGTAGAAAAGTGGGCCAAAAAATTACATTAGAATAAACGGCTATTCATACACATACCTCGTCTGTGATAATACCACCGACTAGGTATAGGACAGACATATGATCTATGATCTTATGGGACATCGTGTCTCTTGTTCTGAAATACCGATAGTGTAAAAAGCCAGGGATTTTCTGCTGCCCTCTACGTTATGAGAACGGTGAATCTGTGAACTACTTTAAATCCATTCGAGCTCAACTAGTCTAACTTCTACAGTGTTGTCGAGTCTAAAGTGCGCAATGTTGTCAGATCATGAGTGTTCGGTACGTCGGAAAATCATCGAAGGGACCATGGTCGTGAACGGATTCTCTTCCGTCCGTTCGCTGTAAAGTAGACGTATTATGTAGAAAGGAGCTTGGGCTCGAGTTCCGACGGACCTATTGGTTTTTTTTTTGCGTACAAAAAAGTTATTGCGTTTAATATTGTTTTTATAAATATGTACATGTATTATTATGTACATTTGAGTAAATTATTTTATTATTCCATTGTTATTACAACAGTTTAACAGTGACAACGAACGCATGTATATTTTCAAATATCGGACTAACAGTATATTTTTATTCTATATTATTACATATAAGTGAGTAATACGTATCAAAAACGTAATCGAAACACAGATTTTTATTACACCACAAACATCGCATAAAAGATATTTCGTTATATTGACATTTGTAATAATTATGGATGTTGCAAGGAAATCAATATTATTGACATTATGGAACATATAACGAAATATCACTGTAACACTTAAAAAAGTTTTAAAGTTCCATTTATATCATTGTCCTGTGAAAATGTTCATACTTCCAGCAGCATTCATATTCCAATCAAAGAATTTACAGAATAAGGAAAAGGAATCTAAAGTAATTTTCAGTAGTTCCATACATCTTTATCTCGAATAATTTTCTAAAACATTCAAAGTACTAGACATTTTTACACTTTGAATCTCATATCGATTTCTAAAATAATCCTAATTCGATGTAATATAGAACGTAGTTTCATGAGATATATTCGAAGTTCGCAGCCATTGGCTCGATATTGTCTTCAGTTTACAGTATTTTACCGATGACAATACCGATTGCCCAGGCCTCACCACGAGGAGGTTGCTGCGAGTGGAGGCCCAAGGCAAGTAGATGGAATCACAAGTTCTACATCTACCCACCTTTCACAATAAACCTTATAAATTACTTAAATCTTAACTATATAATACTACCGATACTAAAATCCCTCGGCGGATGACTTCTTTCTTGAGCCTAAACCTATAAAAAACTAAGTTCCCTCGTCGGTTGTCTTCGTTCTTCAGCTTAGAACTAATATTATCTTAATATTCTAATTAATACGAATTAATGCTAGTAATACGAAATAACAAATTTAACGCAATGTAGTCGCTAATACTCAAACGAAAGAGATAGACGGAATGGAAAAAGTTCCATCGATCATTTCGTTTACGCACCTAATATACCAAGCCAAAAATTAATTCTACGATGAACCACGTTAAACTACAGTATGAACAAGTATCGCGATGAAAGTGTTGTCGCCAGAACCTGGTTTAAGAAAATAGGAAAGACGGGCGCAACCTCGCAAACCCGAATCCATCTCTCACTTTCCAGGCCCTTTGGGCTGGTCACCTACGTACCAGACCCGAGCACAGGTCATGACCAAGTATGGTAGTGCAAGCGAGATCCCCTGTAAAACAGAGTCCTTTTACGGAGCAGACTCCCGTCTACTCCGTAGGCGGGTACGTTGTACCCAGGCGCGCACGAGCCTTTACTCCAAATCCTACTTACCAGGCAAAGACTAAACACGTCCGATATCTGGCTTCTCAATAGAAACCAGAGGGATCGGCAAACAGTCTTAGTGCACAGGCCCACTGCCCGTACCATAATAGGTACAGACCCACTGCCCATACCCCAAGTCTGTGTAGAGAAATCAACGAGCAAAATGAATTAATAATAACTTGGTATGCACAATGGCTGATCACAATTTAAGTCTATTAATAGATAGACTAAAATTAATAATAAACGATGTGATGATGAATATGAATATAACAATGAATATCGAATTATGATTTAAGTTTAACTTACAGTAACTTAACGCAGTGGTAGACGCACGCTTTGAAGATGTAGACGTTGATCGATGTCTTCTTTCGATGGAATAACTGTTTGGAAAAATATTTTTCATTATACAATACACATAGAATACATAATATGCACAGTAAATAAATCACAGTAAATAAGAAAATAAATATCGAAGCCAATGGTTCTCGAACATCTGTAACATACAAGGAATTAGTAACAAGAGAGGGGACACAACAATATGCACAGTATATAGATTAGTAACATGCACAGTAAATAAATAAATAATATGCACAGTAAATAAATCACATTAAATGAATCACAGTACATAAGAAGATAAATATCGAAGCCAATGGTTCTCGAACATCTGTAACATATAAGGGATTAGTAACAAGAGAGGGGACACAACAATATGCACAGTAAATAAATTGATGGTTGTCGAATGCCTGCAACAAACAATGGGTTAGTAACAAGAGAAAGGACGAGTATGAGACGCGCGACCACCCTCCGCGACGGTTCACGACAAAGTGAGGAAGCAAGCACAGACCTGCACGGGATGGTACGACCTTGGTACACGGCGTACACGGCTAAGTCAATAAACTGGGTGACGCAACTCACTAGCGCGTTGGATCGACGGAGAGCACCGATACTCGGCACGCTCTACCGTACTCTCTCGCTCGCACACCTCCCTCCCATAGACCACCGAAATTCCTCGGCACCCGTCAACACCGACGGAGAGCACCGATACCGCGGCTCGCTCTACCGCTCTCGCTCGCACGCCGTGACGTCACCCGATTCCCGGAAGCTGCGAGATGG